ATTGTGGCTTACTCCAGGCAGCTTTCTTCGTCCAGTTCAATCCATCCACTTGCTGAAGCCCCCCAGAAAAAAAAGAGCTGTGGATCGATTCCCTTTAAAGCAAGGGTAATAAAACTCGGTTGCTTTCTGCTCCCCTCCTAAAAGTTGAGTGTTTAATGGACAACCCATTGGTTGGCAAGAAGTTAAAGTCCTAACATCCAAGCAATGTGCAACAAAGAAAACATATTCGTTTCAGCCAATCGAAGAATCCGAGGCCATCCGAGGCACAGGTAGTGGGCCTCAAAGACCTCTGCCAGCGCCTGTGCATCGAAGTCCCCCACGCGCCGGTCCACGTCCTGCGGCCATATGGTTGCTCGCGTGCGGGTCGCTGATTATTTGGCAGTGGTTGTCAAAACCGTTTTGGATCCCATTTTGGTTGGTGAATTCACCACCCATGTTAGAACCTGTTTTAGTGGGGATTGAATCGGATGTTCATTGGGGGTACGGGATTTTGACCCATGGCCATTTGTTTGCGTTTTGGTGTGTTAGTTGTTCAGCTCGATTGTTTGCTTGTTTGCTCGTTTGCTCGTTTTCTTGCTTGTTTAGCTTGTTTGCATTGCTTGCTTGCTTGCTTGCTTGCATTTTTTTAATGCAGTTTGATTCGGCGGTTGGTGTTGCTTGCATGTGTGTGTGTGTGTGTGTGTGCATGTGTTCTTTTGTGGTTTATTTGGTTTTCTTAAGTTGCTTTTTCTTTACGTTGCGTTTACTTGCTACGTGTTTAGTTTTGGTCGGCTTCCCGATGTCTAGCACACACAAAAGGCTAAACATGTTGGAGCTGTTCAGGTACCCTTTTCCCTAGCCCAATCACACAATACCTACAAACTGTGGGTACCAAGCTTGGGGTCTGTGCTGCAACCGTACACTGTGAACTGGGGGTCTCCAAGCTATGTGCATGTTATGCATAGCATATCATATATCAATACGCGCACGTATTTCAGGGGCACGCAATCGTAACATATCGTAACCCTGCGCTTCAAGAGGCCTGTCTAAAGGAGGCCTCTGGAAAGAGGCCTTGATTTGTCAAGAGGCCTTGTCTTGTAAACCCGGAAGTATCCATGGTAAGTATCCACGCCTTCTCAAGGCCTTTGGCCCCCGGCCCCTTATTCCTGGCCAAAAAAACATGGTTTTGCATATTGGCATATGGTGCATCACCCATGATATCGCTACATGTTGTCTTTGTAGATGTCGGCACAGTTTTTGTTCCCTGCGCTTTTCGTGGAACAAACGCCACGCTCTTGCACGAAGGCTGCAGTTGGCCCAAGCAATAGGTTGGGTTTTCGGGAGTAGCGTCATGTGGTCCTGCTGGGCTTTTTCTGTGCTGTCCATTGCGTCCACGCCTTTTTGAGGGTTTTACACGCCTGTTTGAGGCCTTTCCACGCCTTTTTGAGGCCTGTCCACGGGTTGTCCACGCTTTATCCACGGTCCAGCTTGCGTTCTGAGTCTTCACTGCCAAGTGTGACACAGCGTCTTGATGACACTGGCAAAAAAATGCAGATCGTGTTTCTATCCTGGCTCCAGATTCTCAGGCAAATATCTACAAAGGGGGCCTTCAAAGCAAAGAGCTTTCCAAGCAAGATGGTAAACAGGTTGCAGCTATGATTCTGCTAAGGTGAGTTTTTGGCTTTGGCTATCCCTCGAGACGCTTCAGCTGAGGCATGCGCAAATGCATGTTATACGCATTCAACAGCATGCCAAATCCCTTCGAGAAAAAAATATTTGCCAGAAACTGCCCGAGGTGGCCACTCCCAACTTTTCAAGGCCCTGCCCCTACTTTTGAAGGCCTGTGCACACCCGATTTGAGGCCTCTGGAACAAAACAAGGCCTAGGCCTAACACAAGGAGGCCTTGGAAGCCCAGGCTTAAGCTACTAGTTTATCAGCATGAGCGGCAGTCTATACTACATGACATGTATTTCCTTAGGTTTGTGTGGAACATTTTGTGAGCGGCGCCAAGTCGTTCTCACATGGACATTGGCTACCGGCAACCTTGACCTACCCTCATATTACATGGGCGGTGCCAAACTCTCATTGGACCTCGGTTTGCGATTTGGATCGCTTTGTAAAGGGAACCCAAACGGCACGTTGAATCATCACTATGGCATACGGATCTGTGATTTTCCTCTTGCCTAGATGTTCAATCCACTTATATAGGTTATCAAAGGAAGTTTAGAAGGAAACTTCCGAGTTACGGAAACTAATTGAAAGGTAGCTCTGCGCAAAGATGAGATGAAGAAAGAATGAATGCATGCGAGAAAACGTGCGTATACGTGTGCCGGGGGAATAGAAATCTGCAAGAAGCGCAAACCTCTGCGGGTTTTGGCTTCTGCGGCTGGCTGAAAGCTACCCCGGTCGCGGCGTCTGACGGACGACGGGTGCGGGACGGGCTCCGGACGGGCTCGGGACGGGCTCGCGCCGGGACCACTGGCACGGACGCGCACACTTTCGCAAGGTTCAAATTTCATGGCAGCCGCAGTATTTTGGCAAGGTCGGGTACAGATTTCGTGGCAGGTGCATCACTTTCGCAAGGTCAAGTGCAGATTTCGTGACAGGCGCGGCATTTTCTTACTTCTGGCACGGACGCATCGCAAATCCCATTGGCACGGACGCGCAAGGCGGCGCATGCAGATTTCGTGGCAGGGGCAGCATTTTCGCGAGGTCAGGAACAGATTTCGTGGCAGGGGCATCACTTTCGCAAGGTCAAGTACAAAATTCGTGACAGGCGCATCACTTTCGCAAGGTCAAGGACAGGTTTCGTGGCAGGCGCAGCACTTTCGCGAGGATTTCGTGGCAGGCGCAGCACTTTTTGCAAGGTCAACTTTCGCAGTCGGGGCTCGAAAATCGCAACTTTTAAGTGCGAAAGTAGCAAGCGGAGTCAACTTTCGCAGCTGGGGCTTGAAAATCGCAACTTTTAAGTACGAAAGTAGTGCGCGAAGTCCACTTTCGCAGCCGGGCTTGAAAATCGCATTTTTTAAGTACGAAAGTAGTACGCGAAGTCCACTTAGTCCACTTTCGTAGCTGGGGCTCCAAAAATCGCAACTTTTAAGTACGAAAGTAGTACGTGAAGTCCACTTTCGCAGCTGGGGCTTGAAAATCGCAACTTTTAAGTACGAAAGTAGTACGTGAAGTCCACTTTCGCGGTGGGGCTCGAAAATCGCAACTTTTAAGTACAAAAGTAGTACGCGAAGTCAAGATAGAAAGAGATAGAGAAAGAGATAGATAGATAGATAGATAGATAGATAGATAGATAGATAGATAGATAGATAGATAGATAGATAGATAGACAGATAGATAGAGAGAGAGAGAGAGATCAAGATAGATAGATAAATAGACAGAGAAAGAGAGAGATAAAGAGCTAGAGAGATAGATAGATAGATAGAGAGAGAGATAGATAGATAGAGAGAGAGAGATAGAGAGAGAGAGAGAGAGACAGATAGAGAGATATATAAATAGAAAGACAAAGAGACAGATAGATAGATAGATAGATAGATAGATAGATAGATAGATAGATAGATAGATAGAGAGAGAGATAAGCAAATAGATAGATAAACGATAAACAGACAGATAGATAGACAGACAGATAGATAGATAGAGAGATAGATAAATAGATAGAAACAGAGATAGAGAGAGATACATAGACAGGTAGATAGATAGAGAAATAAATAGATGGATGGATGGATAGATAGATAGATAGATAGATAGATAGATAGATAGATAGATAGATAAATAGATAGAGAGCTAGATAGATAGATAGATAGGTAGATCTATAGATAAATAGAAATACAGATAGATAGATAGATAGATAGATAGATAGATAGATAGATAGATAGATAGATAGATAGATAGATAGAGAGATGGATAAATACACGTGAGATAATGGGATAGATAGATAGATAGATAGATAGATAGATAGATAGATAGATAGATAGATAGATAGAGAGAGAGATAGACAGATAGAGAGAGAGAGAGATTGATAGATAGGTAGACAGAGGGATACATAGAGAGGTATAGAGATAGATAGATAGAGAGATAGAGAGATAGATAGAGAAGATAGATAGAGAGATAGATAGATATATAGATAAGCAGATAGATAGATAACACGAGAGATAGATAGATAGGTAGTTCGGTATAGATAGGTAGAGAAAGATAGATAGACAAGCAAACGAAAGAAAGAAAGAAAAGACAGATAGAAAGAAGGAAAGAAGGGAGGAAGGAAGGAAAGAAAGGACAAAAAGGAAGAATGACGGAGAAAAAGAGTCAAGAAAAGAAAGATAAAGATAACTATAGTTTTTTAAATTTTTTGAAACTTCCGCCCACCGGCTTCGCCGGCTCTACTGGTATATTATATGCATACTCCCCTGCAAATCAACATGGAACCTGCAACACATCCTCTAGACATTGTGGTAGGTTGGGTTTCACGTAAAACTTTGTGGGACAATGATGATGTTGGGGTTCTATGCTAATCTGCAACCTCAAACAAGAGCCAAATAAGCAGGCTCAAACTGATCACACAAGGACAACCAAACCAAGGATCTCAAAAATCAACAAACGACTTCCCAGCCAACAAACTTGGAGAAACCAAACAAACAGGGCGGTGCGGCAACCGCAAACCGCGCTCCGCCAGATGCACCGTCTGCAGGCCCAGCGGGCAAAAGTCCACATCCTCAGATGGGCAAAAGGCGGAAGTTGGCACCAGCTTTCAAGTTTTCCCCACGCCACCCTGCTGTTCCACAAAAAATCCGGGGGTTGCTGTTGGAGATACTACCTGGGCTTATTCCTTTTTGCAATGGTTGAGTTGGTTGTTTCAATGTGTGGAGCTCCCGATCTTGACACATGAGTTTGAGTCAAGGATTATCTGGGTATGGGTCAAAATTAAACCACCAGGGGACCACAGGTTTTAGTCATTGTTTCCATTTACCAGGGTGCCATTTTGGGTACCTATTTTTAATCCACAGCCATCTCTGGCTCCTGAAATCGCCCGCCATGCCCCCATTGGCGCCAAGGCTCGTTGGACACGTAGATTCGCGCCACCCAGACCCTGCGGACGGAAGGCGCTTGGGATCGCTCGGGACCCAAAGGGAACCTCCGCCACTCGGCGTCTGATCGGTAAACTGAGGCGCCTTAGCAACTCGAGCAGAGCACCAGCAAGCAGTCCGTTGCACCAATACTCAGTTGTTCAGTGACCCTGGAAAAAAAGGGAACCCTTTTGAGGGAAGACCATTTTTAGTGGGGCAGCCACCAAACAAAAAGGGAAAAAGGATGCCACTGAACAACTGAGAATAGCAAACGTAGAATCCATAAGGTTGGCAGGCAAGGCATTGTGGCAAGACAGGAGGTGTCGAGTTGAGCAAGCCATGCAACAGAGAACGCTGAGCAACCACAGAAGCTGCAGATGGTAGGGTAGATGCAAATATCGGGCTGGAGCTCAGTCAGTGGAGAAAAACAACTATATGTGATATATATATATATATAGCAATGCATCTCTCAGTAGGGAGTTCGAAGCATGGGTGTTTTCCCCTTCACGGCCCGTTCAACCAACCTCACAAGGGTACACTCAAGCGAGACACCCATGTAACAACCGGCTTTTTCCTTGAGACCTGGTAAGGGGTTGTGGAAAACCATGTAAGGCCGCAAATGAAGAAACCTCTCCGAAGCCTATCTAAGCCTGTCAAGAGCCAAGATGAGCAAGGACTGAAACACTAGTAGTTGATCCGATCATTTGCCAATAATTTTGAACAGCAATGCCCCGTGCTTGAACAAGCCTCGTTCTGTGAGCATGTTGCGAGCTTCGGGTTCACTGAATTGGTGCACAGTGCCTTGTCAATCTGTGGCCCCTCAAACGATTTTCGGCGTCGCCGTCCAAAATGCATTCCGCATCAGCCTAGATCAGCACATCTGAGACGGGCTTTCTGGGATAGCCTCAGCGAGCTACGCTGCCTACACAGGATTCCACCCACCAACCAACTACATACTGCATTTGTCCTGAAGGTTTCTGAGTCCATTCTAACCGCGGCTCATTTGAGTAGGTGTTTTGTCTGGTCTGCACATTTGTTTAAGCCATGTAAAGCTCTGTGTTGCATGGCGCAAACACCCCTTTGCTTAGGTTGGATACTCCGTTGCAAACGAACATGGACCAATGGAACCCCATTTGCCTATTTTTCCTGAGTTCTAAAGAGGAGCCATGACAAACTTGCCAGTTCTCGTTCGGGAATCAACAGGGGTTTTGGGAATGAGCAATAGGATCCCCTCAAAGGTCCCTCAGTCCCTGCCTGTAATAGGACCTTCCCAGGAGTAACGAGACCAAATTAGGATCAAGTTGCGAAGCAAAGCAAACCCCCTCAGAACCGGCAAGCCGTGACTGCCCTTTGGCTTCCCTAGACTCCCCCAGGGTTCTTAGGACGAAAGGAGTAGCGAACAGGAACAAATCCTCAACCATGCGAAAAATGCTCACACATAGAAATCAGGGACACCAATCCTTACGACCAAACCAATTTGGGTCGCTCGGTGGCCAAACCCTCCAAGAGACCAAATACCTTCGCGACCCGACCATGCCGCTCGGCCTCCACTCGAAGCTCGCGTCTGGGGACGCAAAGATCCGGCGCTGGCGGTGGGGCTGGTTGGCATAGAAGGTGAGCTCAGCCTCCAACGCCAGGATCTCAGGAGGTTCCGTTTGGGTGCGTGGTTTTACAGGGATCCTTACATTATACACCTGAACATTGCAACTTGTAAATGGTGGCTTCCAACTTTATTTCGCTGTTGACAAAGCAACATGTTTCAAATGGTTGCAAAATGCATCTTTTAAGGAGCCCTGTTTTTAAGGGTACCTGTTTTTTGGGAAGGCTTTGATTGCAGGGAATCTGAAATGGAAAACCAACATTTTGGCGGCCACCCCAGTTTGACACACACCCAAACGGGTGTTTCTCAAAATGTGGGATAACAAACAGGGGGGATTGCGTTTGGTTCTATCCAAAGGGGTCCATGTTGAGAAACACCTATTCCACCCTAGGAATACACTGGGTAGAAATGACCCAAACAGGTCCAAAACAATCAGCTGTTTGGAAAGACGGAAAGACTCAATGGGGTGATTTCCCAGTGGCAGCAGAACAACCCTTGGAAGCTTAGAAGGGTCAGCGGCAAATGGCTGACTATCTCAGAAGCCCACTGGCTTTCCATGAAAAACGAGTGACTTGAAAGGGAGCCATCCTCCTACAAAAAAGAGAAAAGGTATCACTGGGCTCAGATTCCCAGCCGCCATGGGAAAAAAACGAGAAAGCACCTCAGGAGGGGAAAGCCTTAAGAAAAAGGAGAAATATCAGGAACAAGAAAGTTGGGCCTGGCTCTGCCTCTAGCGCATTTTCAGGTATGGGTTTTGAAGGTGGATGCTGATATACCACCAGTGTAAGCTTGCATGGCAAAAATACCCCTTGTAGTATAAATGCCAAATAGCCTCCGTACCTCCAAAACCCATACCTGAAAACACCTTTGACTACCCAAACCCAAGGTGGAACAACACCAAGGCGCATATATGCAGCTGTGTTTGGCTGGGACTGTCCCTTCTTGATTAGCCTGATCTGCCTGGGTTTAAACTGTGGACGGCTAAACGCAGGAGACGGGGTGGTTGCTCTGGGCGGTGGTTGCTCTGGGCGTCAACTAGCAAAAGGGGGGGTGCAATCCAGTGAGCGACTGGGTAAGTGTCCTGCTTCAACAGCGCGCCAGCGAAACGGAACTCACTAAACATCTGCGTAAATCACTACATTTTCCAAACTGGAGATAAGGATGCTGCCCATCAGACCCTCATCATTTGCGAGCTCATTCTACCTCCAGATATAATTTGTCCGGTTGCATGAGGGGTGGGGGTGTCCTGCAGGCTGGGTGCTGTCCCGCTGGAGGCTAAATACATACCGTTTCATTTTGCTGAAAGGACACAAAAGGGAAATCCCCGCCCAGAAAACCGAATCTCCCCAGCCTTCACAAGGGGCCAGTCAACCTGCGGCGGGACTGAGACACCCTTTAATTTTATGTCTCTTTTGTTTTCGCTCCAAATGCTCCTCAATTTCCGCCAAAGCAGGCACCCCCAAAGATGAAGATGGACATCCCATTTTGACTTCCTTTCAGCTGAAGTGATCAAGGACGCCTTGTGAACTCTTGGCTGTCTTGTCCTCAAGTGGGTTGTTCAGAATGGGGAAATCTTCCTTGTCCATAATCCATACTGGCATGGATGAAATTCTATACTATGAACAATAATCTAGGCCTTGTAGAATTAGTGCGTCAAGGCTTGCTGGGGGAATCAACCACGCTGATTCAACCGGACTCAAAGCATCGCTTTGCTCTTTGCTTGAAACGAGCCGACTCCACAGAGTTCGGTCCAGGGCTGGGTAGTTCAAAATGCATCCTTAATTCGTATGCCAGCTGGTCGTGGCTTTCGCGCCCAGAAGAGAGAAAGTTCACTCGATGGGGGCAGGAGAGGAGTGGATCGTCAGAGGGGCGGGGCGGTCGGAGTAGGCCTGAAATGGAGCGGCAGGAGCATTTGGGGAATGTGTATTCAATATGTCTTGGCCCTCTTACATTTCCAGTCATGACCTCAGCTCAGGAACCATCAACATAGACATGCTCTTGATGCGCGTGGCAAGGGGGTTTCAGCTCTAAGGGGATGTCCAGGTGGATTGTGCGCGTTGGCTTTTTGTGTTTTTTTTCTTTTGTTGAGGGGGTTAACCCCTTGAGGTGCAATATTGTAGATGGAACGCCATGACTGGTAGGAGCGTTGCAGTGTCCCTCGGCCAACACCGGAGTGTTCTCACAGCCTGTAACTTGGCCCGATAATTCTCCTTATACATCACCCCACCAGGCAACTCACTTTAGACTGTCCCAAAAGGTGATGAAACCAAACCAAAGGGGGGCGTATAGGGCACCCTGTATCACTCCCTGCAAAGAAAACAAATCAGGAGGAGCGTGCCACGGGTCCTCTGTCAACAAGCAACGAGACCTCCAGGATAAAGTGCGCTGAACTGGAACGACTCAAATCGAGCATTCCTGGAAAAGGTCGGTCAAAGGATTCACTTTGCAAACAAACAACACCAGAAAAAGGCTCTGCCAACAAAGTGTGTTAGGCCGTGTACGTAGGAAGCGAACTGTCCAAGAGACATGCCAGTGCTTTTCGAGTCGACATTTTGGGGGGTGCCCTACTTCGGTCACCCCCAAATAGCGGTTTCTGACAAGCGAGCCCTTCCCGAGTTCCGGGCTCAACGCCTCCCTCCGGGTTGGGCAGGAGTGCTCCGGGTTGTGGAAGGGCATTCGCTCCTAGTCAGCTCAATGCGAATCACCCACATGAGGCGTTCCAAAACTGGGGGGGGGGGGAGAAAAAAACAGGTGGTTTCCTTTTGCCTCCCTTTAATTCTGGCAAAAACGGGGCGTTTGGATGGTGGCTGCAGGGAAAACAAAAGGAGACTTGTCACAGTTGCTCAAAACCCCTTAGGGGGTCGATCATCTTTCGGAAGCTTCACAGCACAAGGCGCCTGTAAATCGCTGTAACCAGGATTAGCCATTTAACCCAAGACCTAAGAGGTATGTGTTGCCCCATCTTTGAAAGATTTCCGTCAGGAAGGGTCTAGGGGTTGCTTCCCCATTCTTTTCAACCATCGTTGTTTTCGGGTTTTTGATGGTTTCCTGAGAAGAAGGATCCCTGGAAAGAATGGGGATGCGCACACAAATTCACACACCTTGTAAACAAACGCCGCGGCTGACTGTCCTCCACCACCAAGGCCGAAGAGCTCGACGCGCCATCGAGCGGTAGCAGCCCGACAACAGCACCTGCCCGGTGGCAACTACCCCAGCTGTTGAGTTCGCCAGTCGCCTGCCCCAAACTCTCCCTTAGCAAAGGTTGATGGCTAACGTTCCCCTCTCATCCTACGGGTAGATTGACTGAGTGTGGTCCAAACAAGTCCAAGGTGCACAATATGAAGGGTAAGTCCCACTTGGGGGCGTACTGAGTAAAAATATTAGCCGATGTCAACCGTTTATCAAGTGGCATGGTCATCCTAGCAGGGGCCCCACGAAACATTTGGTTTACGCAAAACCAACAACAGGTCAAAAAGTTGGCTTGCTTTGGACAACCAAATTTTGAGATCCACAAACGCCGAAACCAAAGAAGCGGGCAAGCCTAAGCCAACGACCATATAGTGATTCCAGACAAGTCACTGTGGGTGAAGCACTGACAGTTCTTCAACTGAGACATCCCTTCAACACACTCCCGAAAGCCAAAGAAGATATGCCAAAAACGCCCGCGGGATGACAAGGCCCCTTGCCCGAAGGCTTAGGTTGAGACCATTCCCAAACTCTTTCCAGTCTAAGGGCTGACTCCCCTCTCGCTTCACCCAGAGTTCCGTTTATGTACTGCCCAAAAGCCCCTTTGGCCCAGGCACGGCTAGAACTAAGTCAACCTCAAAGTCTGGCATAATGATCTACCCACAAGCATGTAAGAATCATACAAGAGCGGATATCCGCAGCTATTGTTGGTGGGGCTATCCCCAGCCTTAACTTAGTCAGGCTTTGATTGTGGCTTGGTTGTTGAAGGGCAAGGCCAACCCCGTAAGTTGACACACGCTGAAACCAATGCTGGTTCAACATTATTCCGTTGCTTTCCCGCAAGCGCACCAGGGCCTCGTGCTTGGCCTTGGCAAAAAAAGGTGGTCCTTCTTTTAAGACCTTTCCTTTGAGCATCCACAAGGTTTTTTGAATATCACCAGTTTCAGTCGATGTGCCCTGAAACAAAACAACAACAAAAAAGGGGCATGCCCCCTGCTCACGTTTTGCATGGATTGGACAAACCGAAAGCAAGGACCCCCTGCAGCTAGGGCAACGCCAGCCGAGCTCGCTGAACCCGGCCTAAGACACGCCTGACAGCCGCTCCCATGGGCGCCGCGCAAGCGGCGCAGGGCAAGCCCCGGGTGTCTGTTTCAATACACCAGGTTTGAATATCCAGACGTGTTACGCATTTCGGGGTAGGGTCCTGTTTCCCCTCCACCTGCCGGATGAGTATCCGTTCTATTGTTCAAAATCTATGTAACACTGACGCGCTGGGGGAGATCTGCAAACATGTCTTTCAGTCGGTCTTAAAAGGACCGGATGGTGCGCTTTTCTCCTAGGAGGCTGGGAAGGCTGCGTGCAAATCTCTCAGCATTCTCGGCCCGGCGACCCGCACAAAGTCGAGCTTGTTGTGAGTTCGCCGAAATGAACGTCGTTTCTTGAGCCCCTAAGCCAACCAACCTGGACACCTGGACATGTGAAGCTTTGTCTGATTCTGGACCTTGTCTTGTGAATCTTTCCCTCCCTCCCACTAACATAGCATCTGTGGGAGGAACCTGGAAAATGAATTTCCTCTTGAAGGCCCACAAATGTCAGATGCCATGTTAGGGAGGGCAAACAAAATGTTCAAACGAGCCGGCCCCATTTCTTCATCTCCGGCGCTGACTTCTCCACACGCTCAGAGCCATGCGGAAAGGCTGGCGAAAGCCACTGAACTGGATCGCCTTGGGACAATGACTTCCTTTTTAAGACTAAACTGGGCTGTCCGTTCTCAGATCTCCTAACAGTTTGGCTTTTCCTGGGTTCGCTGGACACCCCCACTAAACCCTAAAAAAAACCAAAAGCTTAATGGGACGGCTGGGAGCCACCAAGTAGAAAGACATGTCCAAAAAGTTCAATGTGGAACTCATGGCATGACTCTCTGAGTGTCAGAAGTGAGGTTAAGGGGTGACTCCCTGCCCCGATGACTAGGTCCAGCTGCACCTTACCCTTTCCTGAAGCACACCATTCTTTGATCCACAGGGTAAACCCTCCAATGGACTCCAATTTGCTTTGTTGCAACAGCCTCCTTTGAGTTTCATTGCCTTTAAGAGCCAAGGCAACCGAGTTGTCTATACCTGGAATGGTCATCGCCCCCCTGCAAAGAAAGAGTTTGGTTTTGGTGGGGGACGCACTCCTCATATTTAAACAAATCCCCCGAAGAGCAAACAATGGGAGCCAATACAATTGTCCTATCTGGCCATGGGTCAAATTCCCGTACCCCCAGTGAACATCCCAATCCCCACTAAATAGACAACAAGTGGGTGGTGCGCCTACCCCAAAATGGTAGCATTGGCTTTGACCCATCTGGGTCCTCAATTTGAGGTTCACTGCAGCCCTGTACAACCCCCATTCTGCAACGGCGCGAAGAACACCACCCCCCAAAGCGGCAACAAAACGGCAAGCGCGGCGTGGGCTACCGGAGAAGCGCCTCTGCCTGATGGATCAGCGGACGTACGCGTCCGTACGTCCGTTGCTCCCATTGGACCCAATCGGCAGGGGAAAACCACACCACCATGACCCCAACAAATGAGCCCGCCTCAAGTTTGCGATCGAAGAAACTTAGGTCCAAAATGAGCAGGCAAAAAGGGCGCTGACAGTGCTTTCTTAGAGGCTTGATACCAACTGGTTGCGGTTTTGAAAGGGGTAAGACCGAAGGCCGTGCTTGGGGAATCATAAAGCAAGGCGTAGGAAGGCAGAAAGGGATTCGGCCTAAACAACTCCAATCTTAACCCCACGCTGAGCAAGAAGCTAACTGGATACGCGGGTTCTGCATCTTTCTCTCTTTTCGTATTGCTTGTTCAGGACATCCTCTCGGGTGTCAGCAGGGCCGGGAAGATCCCATGGCTTTTTCTTGGGGGGGTGCCCTTCTAGTTTGAGACAACCCCACTGAAGAACTTCTGGGGCCACGGCTTAAGCTTTAGCCACTGGAAAACTTCCATGTGCATAAGCCCCGTGGACAAAAAACAATTTCCAGTAGTGATAGATTCTCTTTAAAGCCAACAGGGGAAAATAAACAAAAAACAAAAACAAAAAACAAATGGAAGAAAATCCAGTTGAACCCCTTCCCAACCCAACTTGCCTCCGTCAGGGGAGCGGACAAACGCGTCCGGCAGGGCCGTGGGCTCGGCTTGCCTGGGTCTTGATTCTTCTTCAAGCCAGCACCCCCACCCGCCAGCACTACTTGGGCGTTCGGACACGGGCCAAAAACAGAGGTTGGAGGATGCTGGAAAACTCTAATGATGTATCATGTTACTGGATTATATGTCATTGCATTCTACTTTGCTTCACTATCAACTTGTGTGTTCACCGCATTTTTATGTATTCTTGTGGAATCCCGGTTTGGATCAGTGTAACACACCAGCAAGCGCTTTCGCCAAACCGAGGGAAGCGTAGCGGCAGGGGTTTGCTGCAAAAGAGGTCCTGTGAGCGTTCCACACGCATCCACAAACTACTCGAACTTCGGGGAAACATCACACGTGCAAAAGCACACGCCTCACTTTACAAGGTTTGCTTGAAAGACTAATCTGATCTTCCCAACAGAATACAGTTCAAGCACACGGGAAGCGAGGTGCCCGGAGAGCAAAACTCGACACGACAATCAAAACTTGTGAGGGAAAGTCATAGTCATGCTTCCTCAATGGGATTCATCTCAAGCATTTGCATCATGGGCAAAAAGCTGCTACTTGCAAGTCGCGTTCACTGTCCTGTGCATCCTCTCTCTGCCTAAAACCAAGAAGGGGTTTGGCAGGATGCTTTTCAACACCAAACCAATGTTGCGCTGCAGCTGTGTTTTTGTTTTCCTTTCGCGGTTAAGCCCTCGTCTACCCTGCAACAAATGTCTTATGTCAGCTTTCTGCAACATACAGCAACCATGGGCTCCGTCTAAATGTTCCCGCATATGGGTGAGCTAGGAAAAATCATCAGATAAGGGCTCTCTATGAATGTAGACTTCATAGCAAGGTCGCACACCACCTCTGTGAGGTCACTTCTGTAGACCATCCATCATATCCCGTGGGCCCTTTGACCCCAAATGATGGATCCTTTGCCGCAGCTGCGTGTCAAGAGTATTACCTTGAAAATGCTTCCCGCAGCCCAACCAAATAAATGCTTCTGCCTCGCCACATGCAACAAACAGCTACATAGATCAGCAACTTTGGCCCGAGGCCGGCCCACTCAGGATAATCGAAGAACTTGCTCCGCACACAGTTCCAGTATTTGGTTACCCCCGAAGGCTTGAATCCTTGGGCTCCAATTTTGGGGAAATCAACCTCCAGTGGCCGTGGGTAATATTTTCCTGCAAGAAACACTTGCATGACATAAGCACGACACGAAGACATAAACATCGACGCACCTGGACAATCATAGGAGCCGAGCCTGCCTCAAATATGGCAAGCAGCGGGAGAAAATAAAACAACGTACGGAAAAAGGCACCAGACCACCTCGGGTGTAGTGATCCGAAAAGAGACGCCAGTGGTGGGATGGATGGAGACACAGCAGTGTGCACCGCTATTTTTTCAAACCGCATCCTGTTTGTTGCGTTGGCTGTTAACATGGGCGAAGGGGCAAATTGCTCAAAGACATGTTGCAAACTACCAACTCTCATTCTCAAAGCAATACTCTTTAGATGGTGGCTTAAAGGGCCAACCTCTTTTGGCTTCCTTTCAGCCTTTTGAAGTGGCCCAACCCGGCGACAAAAATTGGACAAACAAACACGCGGGGATACGGAGGGAGCGGGGATACGGGGGGAGTCCCTTGGTGCCATTTCCCATATCAAACTTAGTCAAGGTGCATTTAGGGGGAATCCTCCCGTATCCCGTTTCTCCTGTATCCCTGCTAGTTGGTTTCCCTGACAAAAGGCCACCCCCTTGGCCGGTCCTGGGCCCCCGAGCAACCGCGTTGGAGTCCCGGCAGCGGATGCCGAGGCCGAGGCCGGCGCCGTGCGCGGGCCCAGCTGGGCTGCCTGCGTCCGGGTCCCATGTGGTTGAGTCTTTAATCCTTTTCGTTCAAGGCACAGGGGACCCATTTTTAAGGGGTCATGATAAATGCCCCAGGTTCATTTCCAAAGTCCAGCCTCGAGCTTCATACATTAGTTGGACATCCGAAAGGATCCATGATCACTGGTCACCACTTCTTCTGACCAGGGATGTGGGAAATTACCACTTCTGTGATACAAAAGGCCTTCACAAAGACTACCCCCCCCCCTTATAAAGGGGGAGATTCCCTTGTATCACAGAAGTGGGGACAAACCCCTTGATCCCACAACCCTGTCAAGGCACCCTGGCATTTGTGGGGTCCAAGGGCGAAAATAGAAACACGTGGGTCGTTCCAGTCAGGGACACCAAAAGTAGAAGTACAAATTTGGGAAGGTGCCCCTCTTGTGACGGCTAAGAAATCATGGCGAAACCCCGAGTTCTCCAGGAGCCAGGTGAACATTCGCTTCCCAACGACAAAAAAACAGAAGACGCAATGTTTCATGTGATCCAAAACACCAAAAAAACTAGCCCCCACATTGCAATCTGTTGATCACGATGTGTTTACCCCAAACAACTATCGCGCTTTTCGCCTATTGGGGGAACCAACAAATTTCTGCAATTGAAGCGGGCAACGATTCCCGGGTTGGCCAAAAGACTAAGAGAAAAAATCTAGGTCCTCCAGTAGATAGGTTAGAATAAGGGCACCCTTTTTTCTGTAGTCTATTTTAGTAGGGGAACCCTCCCCAAAAAAACACGGTAAAAAGGTACTACTGGGGGACTTAGACTTCACAAACTGAAACTGCGGCATCCCCAAGTCAGGGACCTTCAATACTGAGCTCGGTTTACCAATAGCTCCTTCTAATTTGCAGAATTGGCATCACAAAGTGCACCTAGGTATCCTTTTTGGTTGCAAATAGATGGGTTTCCCTGGTAGTTGATTGAACCACCAGGTAAACCAGGAATCGCCCTCTATTTTTCAACCAAATCAACCAAGAAGGACACCTTGCTTTGAATCCTGAAACGCCCGGGAAAAAGTATGCAAACGAGTGTCCAGCCATGGCTGTGTTGAATCCCTAAAGGGTTCATGGCCATTCCTCGCAACCTCAAGTACGAGATTGGCCGTGTGAGCATTGCGCATGAACTACCTGACAATCTGAACAACTGGGTAGCTTCCCTTTGAACTCACTTTAAACCTCACCCAGAAGTGCAATGAGAACCCAGGATTCACTAACTCCTGGTTGATTGAGAATTAGGGTCCCATTTTCGGTTGAATCTTTCCCTAGCTTTTGGCAAGCACCCCATGTTAATTAACCAATGTTGATGTGACACGGGGTCGATATTGCCGCTAACAAACACCACACATCTGGAAGGCCGTTTTAGCGGCTCAGGGATCCTTACATTATACACCTGAACATTGCCTTGTAAATGGTGGTGTCCCTTCATTTTGGTGTTGAAAAAGCCACATGCTTCAATTGGTTGCAACATGCATCTTTTAAGGAGCCCTGATAAACTGGGGTTGATTCCTATGGGGGTCCTCACGCGATTTCTGGTGCCTTACGCGATGTGACCGCCGTCCGGACGCAGAATCCGATTTTCTTCGCGCCTTCCTCGCCTCAAAGCTGCGGCGGTAGGCCTGGCAAAAGCCGGGCGCCGGGTGGAGCTCGGTACGAAAAAACGAGGAAAGGGTTCAAGGTGTTGCTAACACATAGCCCGAGCCCAAAAAGATGGTTCCTAAACTTAGGTGCTGTAGATCCCCCAGCAAACAGTTTAACTGTTTGCTGGTTGAAAGGAAATATGAGGGGAATCCAGAAAGTTAAAGTCTAAAGATCCAACCCAATAGCAGTAGAATAAACAGGATAGTTGTTGAAAACCGCGGCAGTTTTTGAGAATCCCTGTTAATCTACAGGACAGCAGGTCTTTCTTTCTGGAGGGGGGTGCTGATGCTCTGGCTCGATGTTGAAGGAGCTGCGAGTGAAGGAAGCCAAGTAAAGGGCCCACAACCATCATGGGTTGGTCTGATAGCAACAAAACCGTTGTTCTTTGCAACCCCACCAAATATGAAGCTAAGCAATTAAACAAGCAACATGGAGACACATGCCAAAAACATCTATGTTTCTCCTTGGGAAATGACAAACCAGCAACCAGTTGCTCATGTGCTGGGTGAATTCAAACAATATCCTACGAAAGGAACCCCATCATTGCCCGATCATTAAAGTAGAACAATGGTGCGTGGTAAAGGGAACCAAAGAAACAATGTTCTTACTTACTAGTGGATTTGCCAGGACAAGACCAAGCTGTTGTTTGTCCGCCAACATGGCCTTCCGAAAAGACAACAAGCCAAAAGGAAATCAGGGAGCGAGGCTCCAAGCACCTGACATCTCAAAATGTGCACATCCGCTGGCTGGATGTATCCAAGATCACCCCATAAATGCTTGGTTGCTGTTGACCCCCCTGCAAAAAGCTCTTCACTTTTTGGGGCTTTGGTGGAAAACACAACTTGATTTCAACCGAAAAGTTAAAGTCTAAAGATCCAACCCGCTAGCAGTCAAGAATGGAGCCAGTCAAGGCACCGCGGCCTCCGCTTGGCTTTCGTTCTTTGCTCCCGCCTTCAGCTGCTGCTCCAAGTCATTGGCAGCTCGCCCGGGCGCCTGCAACAGCCGACTTGGATCAATGGCCTGGACATCTGGACGTACAGGGATCCGTACATGAAAAACACCTGAACATTGCAACTTGAAAATGGTGGTTTCCCTTTATTTTGGTGTTGAAAAAGCAGCATGGTTCAAATGGTTGCAACATGTATCTTTTAAGGAGCTCTTCAACAGCTTGTGGGCTCCCTTTCTTTCTTTTACATACCCTGATATACCTACCTCGCGCGTACCATGTATACCCATGTTGTACCCCTTAACCCGGACATACTCCTCGTGCATAGCTCATATACCCCTCATGCATTCCTTGTGTACCACCTCTCTCCTTGTTTACCTTGCATACATTCATGTGTAAACGCATGTTCAATTATCTATCTATATATATATATATATTATACACACATAAGTTTGATCGGCTTTTATGGTTGCCAAGGCCGCGGGGCTTGGCGAACACTATTCTTGTTTACGATGAGGTTTCAAATCACAATGTTTAGACAACCTCCTTTGGGCTTTCTTTGACGGCAACGCAAGGCCTGATCGATCGATCGATCGATCGATCGTTCGATCGATCGATGTGACACCATGCCCTCTTTCCACAACAGGGGCCCCTCTTGCTTGGGAACGATCGCATCCAAAAGAGACCCCCCGCAGACATTTACCATAAGGCAGTCCGAGGGAATGAACCAACCATCCCTTGTTTCCTTAGGAATCCCTAGGTTCATTCCCAACACCCTGGGATGTTGTTCAGCAGGGAATGCGGGAACGACCCCTACAAACCATCCCTTGCGGTGTCCATTCAGGGCATGCCTAGGTTCATTCCCAACTCTTTCTCTTCTTTCTGGGTCATTCCCTACTGAGCATCAGCAAGATAAGGTTGGTCTGTTTTTGGCTTCCCTTCAAAACCAAGAGCGGGGAAACAACACTCCCATACTCCATTTGCTTAAGTCCTGGCAAACAATAAACATTTCCAGAAGGGATAAATTTCCTTTGAAACCAAGTTGAGAAGATAGAAACATATTCTTAAGCAAACGTAGGCCCATAATGGGCCCATATTACATTTGCAAACAAACTCAAGTAGAGCCCAGGCGAGCAATCCTCTGAATTGACTCTTGCTACCACCAGACATAACACTCTGAGGGTTGTTGACCCATCCGAGCCTCCATGTGTGCACCAGCGAGGGCGCCCGGGATTTGTTTCCCGTTCAAAAGCTGACGAAAAGAAGGCAAGGGTATCCGCAAAATTGTGAAACAAAAGTAACAAGGGTCGCTGGGGGTGAATTGGGGTGGGTACAGCTAACCACTCCCCGGACCTTCCAGCTTGTACTTGGAGCTGTGGCCATATTTGGTGTACTCGGGGCCCTACGAAAGTTCGCAGCATGTTACAGGGGTTGCACAAAGCAGATGGCCCTTTTGGGCAGGGGGTCCAACCAGGGCTGGTCTTTTACCGAATCCTGTTTGGAAAAACACGATTTGGAACACGAGACCAATTCGAAGGGTGTCATAAGTTGGGCTTTCGAATGATTCTTTTCTTTTTAATAATAGCTTCCTTTCAGCTGCAGTTGTGCAAAGGGCCTGAATTTATCACACCTGCATAGCCATGCGTGCATTTGCTCTGAGCCAAGGGCAGCAGGCGTCCATGCGACGAGTTGCATCCGGGGGGTTGTCTTACATGGAGTACCTTTTTGGTACTTGCTTGGAAAGGAGGTACGAGGCAGCAAAAGGGTCTCGCATCCGACCGAACTTCCACTATGTTCTACAGAGCCAACGTGATTACTTCAATCAGGATCAGGGTATCCATGGTCTACAAATCAAGGGCTGGGACTACGTTGGGGACAGATTTGATGATCTCAAGGGATATTCCCAGTATACGAGACCCATCCATGACATCATGAGATACATGAGAACGGAGGTACCAGGCAGCAAATGGGTCTCAATCGGGAGCCACATATTTTGGACAACCCCCCCATCAATCAATCTGCCCATATCGAGCGAGCAACCCTCAAATCCCATTGCATTTGATTGTGCCAAGAGTCCCTGATTCTTGTCCATTCAATTTGGAAGGGGGCCTAGAAATATGGTGTGTGTGCGTGTGTGTGTGTGTCGATAATTCAAATCTGCATCATGCCAATTGTCACTCCATCTCATAGGGTAGGTTTCTACAGTGGCCTGCTGCACAAAAAAAACAGAGACCTACCTAAATGGCCAATTGTCATAGCCGGTTTTGGGTGCTGCTTGAGTGAATCTGCCAACATGCACAACACAGGTTGGATTGTGATTGTTTTTTTGCGTGTTTGTGTGTGTGTGTACCAGGACTGGCATTAGCCCAACAAGCGCGGCACAGACTCTTGTGGTTGGTCATCTTGGGAAACCAACCTGTTTACAAAGTTGAAACCTGTGCTGCGCTTGGCTGTTTCTTCAATGCGGGAAACCAAAAGGAGAGCCACCATACCATCGTTGCCCACAGATCACAGCAGCTTTTGACCGAACCTCCAAAGGAAACCCCGGAACTGTAAAGCTAAATGAGAGGCTTGTAAGCAGTCCCAAACAAAGCACTATCCCAGGTTTGCCTTTCGAATGGCCATGACAAACCACTGTTTTTGCGATAAACATAAAGGAGGCGCAATGTAGCCAACCAGTTACTAACATGTTTCTATTGCGATCATGGCTTTGCTTAAAAGTCCATGTAAGACCAAAGCCTGCCCTGAAAAATGCGAACCCACTTATTCAACCAGGGGCTTATGAATGCTGGGGCTCCCATTGCCTGGCCGCGACTCGCGGCCTGTCGCATCCTTTCGCCTTTCGAAAGCGAGCGAGGCGTTTCTCGTCGCTTTTCGTCAAATGAGCTTGGCCCAACCTGAGCTCTCCGCTGCAAGCAATCCCCGAGGGAAGTGAATCCCCAAGAGTTTTCAAATTGCATGCTTCACCCCACCCAAAAGGTTCCTGTTGTTTGTTGCTACCGGCATTCTCCCACCAGGATCTGAGAATCAACATTATAACTGTTTGGAACCTTGACTAATAATGGGACCAACATGGGAAAAGCAACAACTTGCAAGGTCGATTCGCTTTGGGCAAGTTAATCCCGAGGTTCCCTGTACCATCTTCTTTGCCAAACGTGTGGTCAACTTATTGCCTTGTTGCTAAGAATAAACCGGGGCGGTGTTTCCCGACTTTGTCAAGAGCTGCTGGATTCCCCACTCCAAGCGATAATCAACTTCTTGGTGGATTCCAACAACTCAAGAATCCAAGCACATGTCCAAATGAGGAAACACATGCATGCAGAAACTACGAGAGTGACAATGTCCGAGATTCATTGCATCAAGAATGAACAGCTTTGACGAAGTAGCCCCGGCAATCCTAAAACATTTTTGTGGGGAAGCTCCAAGGCAGCAGGATACAAATCCTCGAATAGTAGGAAAACAAACCAGGTTTTGGGGGCAAAACGGAAGACCCACCCCGGCACGCGCAAGTCCTCTACCCAACCCGCCCAAAAGACAGCGCCCGCCCGAGCCCGAACCCGCCCGAACCCGGAGCCGGGCTCGAGGTCCGGGCTTCGCTCCATCAGCGTCTGGGTCGTGAGGCCCTGGAGCACCTGCGCCGCCAGGCCTCGGAAGCGCGGAAGCGCCAGGCCTCCGCTGGGCCCGGTGAAAACGGAGCCCAGCGGCCCAGCCGATTTCCCGAAAACCCGTGGGATCCCGAAGCAGGGATCCTTACATACACCTGAACATTGCAACTTGTAAATGGTGGCTGTTCTTTTAGTTTGCTGGAAAAAGCCATGGTTCAAATGGGCGAAATGTATCTTCTAAGGAGCCCTGCGAATCCTAGGGAAATCACCAGAAAAACCAGGGGGGGCTTCCGTTTCTGAGAACTCAAGGAAGGAAGCAAGGATTGAAAAGGACGTCCGCTTCTAGCGCATGGGAAGGATTGCCTTTGAACCTCGACAAATCCGAAGCAACATTCAGTGAGGCCCCTTGGGATTGACCTGGGAGCTGCCCATACAGGCCATCCGCTTGAGCCTGGTGATTGAAGAAACGCCTCCTTTTTCAAGAAACAGATTGTAACGCACTTGCACTGGGTGATTCGGAGGTCCCCCCCCCCAAGCACCCTGTGGTTTTGGAGTTTGCCCCAGCCAGCCGTAATCTCACGGCATCGAGTCAGCCAGTCCTCCCAGGAATGCAAAAAATGTGTGGCCACTAGATGGCAGTACAAGCATAATGCACCACCGTACGAGCCTTGATGTGTGTATGTATACATGTACACTCTCACATACATGTATATGTATGCCTATATATATATATGTAAAGATGTATTTGCTTATTTACTTATACTGCACCCAGTCGAGCTCAGTTCACTCCCCAGCTCAGCTTCGCACCCATGTCGCGGCCGCGGCGCTGCTTCAAGGCCTCGATGAGGTCCTGAAGTCGAAACGAAGTCATTTGATCATCTCAAGGTGAAATCACCAAAGGCACAGATCAGACCATCTCGGACTCCCTGGGTCCGGCGTAAGTCGAGGCGCCCCGTTTTGTTGGGAACGCCCCTTTTTGGTCGGTGTTGAAGGACGGCAGAAAGGAAACCTGCAAGGCCCATGTGCAGGAAGAACCCAGGCAGTAAGTAAGATACCTCTCGCCGGAATACGTTACTTGCGGACGACTGGCTTGCTTACGGCTAGGGCGTGGAGGTGAAGAGTCGTTGGTTGGTTGGTTGGCTGGTTAGCTGGCTGGCTGACTGCCTGCCTGGCTGGTTGGTTGCTTGGCTGCTTGGTTGGTTGGTTGGTTGGTTGGTTGGTTGGTTGGTTGGTTGGTTGGTTGGTTGGTTGGTTGGTTGGTTGGTTGGTTGGTTGGTTGGTTGGTTGGTTCGGGGTGTGTTACTTACGGAGCGGGTTAGTTACGGGGAATGTTACTGACGGAGCGAAGTAATTTACTTGCGGCCTTGGTAATCTTTTGTTCCGGGGGTCCGGGGCAGGGGGTTACTTACGAGGGCGGGGGGGGGGGGGGGTTAGGCACTTGCGGAAGGATAACGACACGGTATGTTACTTTCAGCAGCTGGCTGGATACTTGCAGACAGGGCACGATACTTGCGGAGCGGATGAGGGACTTACGGACAAGGCGTGCTTCTCACGGAGTGGGTTAGATACTACTGACGAAGTACGTTGCTTACTGAGCGGCTTAGGTACTTGCGGACGAGGTATGTTCCTTGTGAAGGAAACTCAAAAGAACCCCTGCCGCCGCCAACCAAACATGATAATTAATGATCACCCCTGATTAGTAAAGAACCCCCCCTTCAAGGTCGACAAGGTTTGGACAAGCCCCCAAAACAGCCAAAACCCCCTGATTAATCTGGAGCCCCTGCGGGCCTCGTCCTTTAACTTTCGACCCCTTCTCCGCCAATCGAACAAGCAACAGGAATGTGGAGATAGGAAATGGAAATAAGGGGGAGCTGCGTGTTTTACATTCAATCTTTAGGAAAACAAATGCATGGTGAGGCAGAAAGGGAACGCTGAATTGAGCGGGGTTGCTAATCATGCACGACATTCTAATTGATTCCGGACCATATCACATGAACCTTCAAATTCACACTACGTTCAAGAGAGTCATCGGCCTCCACTTACCAGAGGCGTTATGCGAAACACACAGTATTTAAGCATGTGGGTCTGTCTTACAATTACGAGATCCCCAACATGGCTTGCTTGCTGTTGGCTGCCCCAAATTTGAAAAGATAACACCCCAAAAGACAACTGTTTTGGGTCTCGTAACTGCAAGACAGACCCACATGCTTGAACAATTTGTGTAGGATCCCGGTCTTTTGAGCCATAGCCAGCTACAGCTACTCCCGGCAAACTAAAAGACGCTGGCTGGGTCCCCAAGACTCAGCCGCTGTCGGATGGTGCCCGAACCCAGCCTGCGGGACTTCCTTGCCACTCCTGCGCATGACCTGCGGGCCGCTCGGAAAAAATGTACGCAGGACTTGCCAGTGGGGGAGCAAGCGGAATAGGGAGGTAGGAGTCCTACCTGGGGCTTGGGGCCGAGAAAAAAAGGAAGGATGCCTTGACTTTTGATATTTCTTTGGGATCAAAACCACGCGTCCAATGACACAAATGAGACCTGGTCCATAATCATATGATACAGCTGATAGAATGATAGACGACTTTCTTTTGCTTTGCTCAGCTTGGAGTTTTCAAGTACATCGGTTTGTAATGTCATTTCAGGCAGTGCACACGAAACTAATCGTAGAATATCGTAGATGAAAGAACATCAAGTGCATCCGTGTACACTTGAATCTCCGACCTGAGTGACGGGAGGGGTCTGTTGGAACCCTCGAAGGCGGAGGTTCATGAAAACCTTTACCAACTCACACGTCACCGTTTTTGGGGCGGCCTGTGTCATCTCTTGCGCATTTTGTTTGCGGCAGGCTTTCGATCTTTCCTATGCAAAGGGCGTGCCATCATTACCTCACCTGCCCCAAAGGGACGCACGATTCATGTCAACCTTTTGGACCCTAGACTAAACCTAGAAACAAGGGGAAACCAAAAAGGTCTGATTCAATCGACTTGCGTCTGGGCAAGTGAGTCGATGATCAGGTTCTATGGGGAAGTCCAGGTGTCCACCCCCCAAACAAGGCCCTCACTTTCTGGCCACGAAACTGGGTGCCCCTTGTTCCTTGAGTGTAAACTCCAAGAGGGACGGTGAAACACCAGATGTGTCTGCTTTGGATGACATGTAATGGCTCAATTCACAAGCAAGCGAGCTAGGCATGCCTAGAGGGAACCTCCCAAAACGGCTGTTTGCTCGCTTTGAGGTGGAAGTGGCCGTCCTTCATGGCCAGCCACTCGGATCTTTGTGCTGGGCTTGATCCGTCAAGACCCTTTGTCAAGGACCGTTGTCATGTACCCTGATGTACACTGAGGGCCCCTCATTGTCGCTGGGGAAGGAACACACACTAGGTGGTCAAACACAAGATAACATTCGTAGCATCCAAACCCCCCTCCCTCCACCACAACAACATGCAACAACGCAAGTTTCCCCAAAAAGGAGCTGGAAGCCATAAGTAGGCCCTCCCTTGTTGTTGGCATTCTGTTCCAAGGATGACATAATATGGCTATGGGTCAAAAATTGCGTACCCAAAATGGAACCCTGGTAAATAGAACCAAAGACTGCGGTCCCCTGGTGTTTTTTTTTGACCCATACCCATATGAAAGGGCCTCCCTTGAGTACAGTGGGGGGGGGGCCATCTGATGGCTCTTGCCCACCTGGGTGATGTAGATCATCGCCCGCCTCGGCTGCATGTGTTGGCGTTTTTCTCCCCACACCCAGCCAGGCTGGGACTTTGGCGATTCCGCCCCCCTAAAGAATCAAGGAGGCAGAAGGGGCTTAAAAAGGGGAGGGGAATTGTGCATTAATTAGTTGGATTACACCCCTTTAAGAACAGCATGACCTAGAACAACACTATTGCACAGCGGAAGATGCCAAAGCAAAGACGGAACGAGCACACATCGGCCGGCGGTTCTTCCAAAATAAAGCTCATCTTCCAGCTCTTCTATGGTGGTATGAGGGTGGGCTTAATGCGTGTGAATGATAATTGGGGGACCCGTTGGTGGACATTTGGTCCGCATGCCTTACTCGCCCTCTCTCTACCAGTGCAACAGCCCATGACATAGACATCATGTCCTGCAGCATCAACTGGTTGCGTCCCTAGATCTGTACTTCCTTGGCCGCAACTCCCTCGCGAAACGAAAGGAATCCATTCCCTGGCCAGATCGTATCCTCTCCAGCAATATGTCGGCACTGCGCGTAAGGTGCTGGGATACCCGCGGCTCTATGGCCTCGCTATTCCTTGTGCCCATTGAACTGTTCCGGAAAAATGTCTGGGCAAGAATGTGTCCCTTTTTTGGGGGCGCAACATGCGACCCCCCCCCCCCCCCCGACATGCGCTAAAAGTTAACTCATGTGCCAGTTTGAGATTCTGGCAACCAAATATAGTCCCAGGAAGCACGCTTTCATTCTTCCTCTCGAATCACAACTAGGAAACTAAAGATGATGTCAAACATCCCAAGTCCAATTTTTAGCATTTACTCTGGGCACCAAACGGGCGTCACAGTAACCCCACGGGCCTACAGGTGTACATATATGTACCAGGCCGTGAACCCCCCCTCCCCCCCCAACCCCCCCCCGGTGGGGTGGGGTGGTGGGGTGGTTGGGTGGTTGGGGTGTGGTTTGGAGTTGGTTTAGGCTTGGTGGGTTGGTTTAGGGTTGGTTCAGGGTTGGTTTGCGGTGGGTTTCGGGTGGGTTTGGGGTTTGGGTTGATTTAGGCTTAGGGTTGGGGTTAAGGAGGGGTTGCAGGGTGGTTAGGTGCTGGGGTGTTGGTTCACGGGGTGAAAGGGGGAGTCTGGGACCAAAGCTGCAGGGCTCACACGGTACTGGACAGCATCCCCAGCATTGCCAGCATCATCCCCAAGATGCAGATGATGCGGGGGAGCGGGGGGGCTACGGACCATACCATTGGTGGCCCAGGGACTGGTACATATATGACGCCCAAGCAAAAAAACCCTTCACTACAATTCCAAACAAAAAACCGGTTGCACAGCCCTGTGACATTCAGGCCCCGAGGTCGGCTTGCAAACACCAGGGCCCCGACCCATCGGGACCTGGCAAAGTGGAGGCGTCACCCTGACTTTGCGGCTGGTTTTTCAAGGGAAGCGAAAAAAATGCCAGCCATTGAAGGAACCCAGGCATTTGTGAAAGGGGAAAACCAAAGGCAAAGCAAGCTAAACAGAAACCAAAAAAAAAGCCTTTGGCAATTGTCAAAGAGAGACCAAGTATTTGAAGCTAAGCGAAAAAGAAACCAAGAGGAGAAAAGATCTTCACCAAAAACAGGAATCCTTACATTATACACCTCAACATTGCCTTGTAAATGGTGGGTGTCCCTTTATTTTGGTGGACACAGCCATGTTTCAAATGAGCAAAATGTATCTTTTAAGGAGCCCTGAACAATATGACTGGTTGCTCCAAAGACCCTGAAACAGAAACTTGATCCCTGGACACCAAAGGACACCAAATCACTTGCCACCCCAGCTCGGTGGTTTGGAGGCTCGGAGCTCCCTGCGGAAAAGAATCCTAGAGATTCTGCATGGAGCACACCCCTCTGGCTTGGATCAATGGTTTCCTCCTGAAAGTATGCGAATCTTTCCTGTCAAAGACAGGCAGTGGCAAGGCTAACGGAACCTTGGCGCATGGCCTAGGGTCTAATTACTATTTGGCGTTGGGTCAAAAATTGGTACCCAAAATTGCACCCTGTAAGTGGTAACATGGACTAAAACCTGCAGTTCAATTCCTGGTGGTTTAATTTTGACCCACACCCATTTGAGTTTGGGGGTGGTCGCAACTCAATCCCCATGCGCTGCCCCAAGACCTGGCCGCAGACAAAACCTTAGGCCCTCGGGCCTTGGGCAGGTCCCTCAGGCTGGCAAAGGGGCAAACTTCGTTCTGGCAGTTGATGGCGGGGTTCAGTTCTCCCCAAACAAATCACAACTGGAAATGAAACCCACTGAGAGGTCTGGGTCCATCCTTGGTTCGACCTCAGCTTTACCAAGAGCAATGACCGGATCGATTGTGTGTCACACTTTTGCACACCTCAAAACATTCTAGATTGTACCAGGGCTCCCTGTATTGCCCCGTAAACCATCAGCCCCACACTCACCTTTCATGGGCCACAAAAGGCGATGTTTAAAACCGCCAAAAAGGGAAATGTAGGGACCCTTGTTCTAAATCAGTTCCACGCTTTTGCACATCACAAACCATTAAAGACTAAAGATCATGGCCAACAAACATCTGAAGTTGGCCACACCTCAAAACAGATTCTAGATCGTGTCCAACAGACATCATTACATTGGCCCCTGACATAAATCATGTCCAACAGACATCCAGGTATGGGTCAAAACTAAACCACCAGTCCACCGCAGGTTTTGGTCCATGCTTCCACTTACCAGGGCAACCCATTTTTTGACCCACCGAATCCGAAGTTGGCAGTCCTGCTCTCTCCGGGCCTTTGCGGAGCAGCGTGATGGCGGTGCCCTTGCGCCCCGCCCGCGCCGTGCGCCCGATGCGGTGCACGTAGTCCTGGCCGTCCTGACATCGCTGGAGCCCGCGGAAGGCGTGAGGAGGCATGCGGCAGGCGGTGACCCCAAAGACTCACGAAGCGGTGTGGATTAGTAGGTGCTAAAGGTGAACTTGTTTTGCTTGGAACGTTTCTTTGTTGGTACTTGAGATTCTTCCCAACAAATATTGATTTAAGCTTCAAACCTGTTGTTTCATGACACCTGAAGCAAAGCACGCAACTATGCACACCTTCGTATTACATGCAATTCATCAGCTCCCCATAAACTGCCTCGAGGCAGTTGGGCAGTTCGCCCATCCAAGTTGTGGCAGCAGCTCATGCGGGGTATGGAGAGGCGCGACGCTTGCTTTCTAGCATTGTCGGGCCTCGCTCAAAGTCCGACGCTTGTGCTCGTTTTTGTGACCACATAATCTCCAACATGTCAGAGGGTTGGAGCGTTGTCAACCCCGCACAAACTAGACCACGGTTGGCCCGAAAGCATAACATCGCAAGTGAGGTCGGCCCAATGCTGCAGGATGCGTTCTTTTTCCCTCCACGAAGCATTTGTGAAGCAAGCGCGAGACAGCACCAGGCAAGGTGCTCTGCGCAAACTGGTCGGTGCAAGTTGGTCTGCGCAAGTTGCTCTACGCAAGTTGCACTGTGCAAGTTGCTCTGCGCAAGTTGCTCCGCGCAAGTTGCTCCGGCAAGTTGGTCCCTGCAAGTGGCTCCCTGCAAGTTGCTCTGTGCAAATTGCGCTCCCTGCAAGTTGCTCTGTGCAAGCTGCTCTGTGCAAGTTGCTCTGTGCAAGTTGCTCTGCGTAAGTTGCTCTGCGCAAGTTGCTCTAGGCAAGGCGCTCTGCGCAAACTGGTCGGTGCAAGTTGGTCTGCGCAAGTTGCTCTGTGCAACTTGCTCTGCGCAAGTTGCTCTGCGCAAGTTGCTTTAAAATGCAAGTTGCATCTTGCGACGCCCGCCCGCGGACCAGGGAGGAATCGAACCCGCGACCCACCGGTTCCGGGAGCAGGCGCGCGAACCACGAGACAACTCCCGAGGACCAGTTCGAACAAAAAAAGTCGCAAAAAACCATGGGTTTTTGCACCTCGATCACGCCGATCCCCGCAGACGGTTGCGCGGGCACCGCAGAAATCGCAAAAACAATCGACCGCGCCGATCCCCGCAGACGGTTGCGCGGGCACCGCAGAAATCGCAAAAAAAAACATGGGTTTTTGCACCTCGACCACGCCGATCCCCGCAGAGGGTCGCGCGGGCATGTTGGAAATCGCAAAAAACCATGGTTTTTTGCACCTCGACCACGCCGATCCCCGCAGAGGGTCGCGCGGGCATGTTGGAAATCGGAAAAAACCATGGGTTTTTGCACCTCGACCGCGCCGATCCCCGCAGAGGGTCGATTTTCGTGTAGTGTCGTCGGCACTACCCCGCCGCCCTAAGAAGAGATTTTAACTCCCCGCAAGTCAATTGCACTTGACTCCTTGCACTTGTAATTTGTATTTGAATTCGTGCACTTGCAACTTGCACTTGACTCCATGCACTTGCAACTTGCACCTGACTCCTTGCACTTGCAACTTGCACTTGACTCCTTGCACTTGCAACTTGCACTTGACTCCATGCGCAGCTCGCAATGACTCTCATGACTCCTTGCAATGACTCCTTGCAATGACTCCTTGCAATGACTCCTTGCAATGACTCCTTGCAAATGACTCTCATGACTCCTTGCAATGACTCCTTGCAATGACTCCTTGCAATGACTCCTTGCAATGACTCCTTGCAATGACTCCTTGCAATGACTCCTTGCAATGACTCCTTGCAATGACTCCTTGCAATGACTCCTTGCAATGACTCCTTGCAATGACTCCTTGCAATGACTCCTTGCAATGACTCCTTGCAATGACTCCTTGCAATGACTCCTTGCAATGACTCCTTGCAATGACTCCTTGCATTGACTTTCATGATGATGATTCCTTGCAATGACACCTTGTAATGACTCTCATGAGAACAACTCAAGTGAACCCAGCGGAAGAACCCTTCGCCATGCTTTCGGGAAAAACAAACATCACTCGCCAGCACAGGCTGTTCTGAGGGCCAATATAGCAGTACCGTACACTGTTGAAGAGCGGTTTCAGGGGGTAAACTTATGTAGATGGCCGCAGGTGAGTTATCCGGAATCCCAGTTGCAAGACTGGCGGCAAAGCTGTGCACTCAGCTAACTTAAAACATCCACGTCTTGCCCTCAGGAACAACGACACGTCCACATGAGTGTGTCGCGGATGAGAACCCCTGAGGATGAAGAGTTGTCCTTTCAACTCCCTTTCAATTTTGCTGTGAACTTGGGATGTGGAACTCCTTCGTAACCACTAATTTCATAGGACCAAACAAAGGTGTAAAAAGGTGGTTGACCTTGACACCACCTGAGCTTCAGGCGACAGACTCCAACAAGAGACACACCGCCGAGCTCCTCAGGCGGGTCGTAGTTGATGACCAAGTTGATGTCCTGAATCAAAGGTCAGGAGAACCAAGCGGTCTTAAGGAGCCGGTTGCCGGTTTGATTGTTTATTTGTCTGTTTGTTTGTTCGTTTGTTGATTATTTGCTTGTTTGTGTGTTTGTTTGCTTGCTAGCGTGCGAAAGAGCTTGCTTGCTTGCTGGCTTGCTTGCTTGCTTGCTGGCTGGCTTGCTTGCTGGCTGGCTGGCTTGCTGGCTTGCTCGCGCGCTTTATTGTTTGTTTGCTTGCTTGCTTGCTTTATCTTTCTTGTTTTTGTTCTTTCGTTCGTGTGTTGTTGCCTTCAACAAAGAAGCCGTCTACACATTGTCTGAATGCTGTTTGTTTTGCTGGTACTGGAGCAACGGAACACAGCAAAACATGGGTGCCAATTTGTCTCCGAAGGGCGTCTTCCAACAGGGCTTTTCTCTCAAGAGTGCAGCGTCTACGTCAATAACTACAATGTAAAATTCCGTCAAACCGAGGGCACCCTGTTTTGGCACTTGGCGTTCAAGGAAAAAGCCCATCCGGGAAAAAGAAACGGGGAGCACCCCACCGAAGATCAGGGATAAAGTTCATATATGGTGCCCACCATATGTTGATTAATATGGGCGCCAGCCGAAACTTTGCGTGCCCAGCACTGTATTGTTTCTGTTTCGTGGTTTGACCAAACAGGATAGTGCGGGCTTTGCCTGCCGTCAAACATGTTGAGTGGGTCCGATGGCCTGTTCCTGATTTGTAAAACTCCACGAGGGCGGAGTTTAGCCGATTGCTTCCCCGGTGAGGCCGGCTACCCTCCCTGGAAGATACCAAAGAAACTGGGATGGAAAGACCGCTACGGTTTGGGCTGGGAGCAGCAGCCATTGGGACGTGTCAACAAACCGCAAGAAGCTCAATCAGCAGCCCTTCTTCCGGCAAATGTTGAAGTGACCGGGCCCTGGTAAACAAAAAAAAAAGTCCCAATAATTCCTGTAAGGGCAGTTCACTCATGCCAGCAGCCACAGCACCTTTGCTATTCCAACATTTCCCCCGGCACCCTCCAATGGCTGCTTCTTCCCATGTCCACAACCCAAGCGCTTCCCAAAGAACAGGGGTTAACAGGCTCTGGTCGCTGAGTTTTGCCTTTTGGTAGTGAGAAAAACCTTACCAGCCAAACCAACCTGGACCTAACAAACCAAACCAATGTGTCACCCGGTCTTCCTTTGCAGGAGCAAAAGTTAGACCAGCCAAGTCACCAGGCCTCGCGTCAACCCCGTCACATCGCTCCTTGATGTCCAAGCCCCGCCCCGCGATGCTCGTGGCCACCTCGGAAAAACTCACGCCGCGATGGGAGTGCTGCCCCCCAAAAAACAGCTTACAGTACCAGGAATCTCCAAGACCAGCCCAAAAAATCAGTTGGGTCATGACTCCATTGTCAAAGGATTTTGGAGACTCCAGGTTCATGGAACTCATATAGAGAAAGTCTCTGCTTGCAGGGGATTCTGGCCTCGAGCATCTGGGAACCCTTACAGAACATCCGAATCCAATGGTTGTCTAACATCCCTAGTGGATGATGACCACCCCACCAACCTCTAAAGGTGTGTGTAGAACATGGCACACATGGCACCGTAAAAAAAAGGAAGGCCTCCCTTTTCCGGAGATTCTCCAAAGGAAAGGAAAGATCGCGTCAGCCGGGCGCGTCCCTGAGAACATGTTCCAGCTGACGCGTCACCAAGCGATGCAAAAACAGACACGGGTTTTCAAAAGCAAGTCTCCTGTGTTTCATGAAGTTCATACAGCCTATGCAGGTTCTTCTGTGCCCAACTAACCGGCTGAGAGGACCACACATGAGCCCCGCAAACAAACAAGCAGGCACGCAACCGCTCCTTTGGGCAAATACAGGGACCCTTCCACCCGAGAAGTGTGCCCCCGGTTTTGTCTGTTTTAGTAGGGCAACCCTCCCCCAAAACAGTGTAAAAGGGCACTACTGGGGGACCTAGATTAACATGAAACCGGGGCTGGAAGGCCATTTGTTCTTTAAGGGGCCTTCTGGTGAGTTCCATGTCAGTTTGAACCTTTTGTGACCAAAAGACGAGAACTGGTTGCCAAAAGCGGAAACGCGCTATGGATACAAAGTTGACGCGCGATGGATAGCTCATGAAATCAGCAGCCAAAGCATGCAGTGTCTGTCCTTTGAGGGAAGACACATCCCACCTTACTGGCAAGGGCATCTGCTTTCCCCATGAAAGGCCCATGCTCGTCTTCCCTTTGCCAACTATTCTGCTACCAACTGGTGGCCAACAGGCAGCGTCAGTATGATCTCTGAAGCGAAAAGATATCCTGGCCGGTTTGGAGACGGACAAATGGTGTCATTTGGGTCCAACAATAGGAAGCGGACCTTCAGAAACAGTTGCACTTTTGGTGTCCAGTAAAAACACCATGCAGAAGGCGTTCTGCTATCTTCGAGCATGCATACACACTATTCCCCACATCTCACATGTTTTAACCATTTAGTCAAATCTAAGATCAAACCTCTGCATCCCGCCCCTTCTGGGCAACCTTCAGATATACATTATATTTGATATTTGGGCCTTCCAAAAGGGCTCTTGAGACGGTTCACACTTGCTGGTGTGTAGATCAACCCCGCAACCATTCGGAAACCTGGCGTAAACTGTTTCCGAAGGCGTAAACTGTTGCCCATACATGAACACACGTACTTCCTCGTCTGTGTTTCTGTTTTTTTGTCTGTCTTCTGTCAGCATGTATTTGACATGTATCAACTCACTGTACCAAAGTGATGTCCACTGGAGGTACGGGACTTTGACCCATGGCCACATCCAGCCATGTTCGGTTTCCTCGCTTAACAAGAACCCGCCACGCCTGGGCTCCCCATGGGGCGCCCGGCCATGAGCCAGGAGTCCCCGTTCCGGAAGCGCTTCATGGCCTGCTGGAAGTGTTTTCCCCACTGGCGGGGGTAAACATGGCCCCCTCTTCTCAGCTTCCCCCTCTAGGTCCTCCAAATTTGAGAGGTTAGAATAAGGGTACCAACTTTCTTCTGTAGTCTATCTTAGTAGGGGAACCCTCCCCCAAAAAAGGGTAAAGGGGGCACTGCTGGGGGACCTAGCCCTAATTGCTGGTTTGGATTGGAGTGGTTTGGAGTTGGGGATTTAAACCCCTGGCTTTGGCAGAGAGAGTTGATGGCAAGCCAGCCCTTAACCATCAAACCGCGAATCCAAACCACCTAAAACGGTTTGCTTTCATACAAGATGGGTCCCCTCAAGTGGCCAGCCAAAAATTTGTCCTCTGAAATGGCTTTAGGTTCTCCTTTTGAACATCCCTTCAAGAACCAACCGACAGGGTTGTTTGGGTGGTTTTCTATTGGATATAGTGAGCAACAATCAATTGGCACATGGAGCCCAATCGCGGCACACGCTACCTCCAAATGTGCGCTAACTGCACCTATGGCTTTGGAGCGCCAGCTGGCACCGTCTCCCTTGAATGTTTTGAGATCAGCATCTTTCGCTGTTCTCTTTGGCTGCAGCCCTCTAACAACAAGATTCCCCACAAAAAAGGAGACGCCCAAATGGAACCCTCCAAGTACATTGCCCCACCAAAAGGACAATCACCAATTTTCCTGAAAACATTCGCCGGTCATGGCTCCAAGTAGGCGGCTGTGTTACCTCGGTCACCCAGGGCAATCCGCGAATCCTGGACAACCTGCTGGAGCCAGTTCTGTGGAGTCGGAGGCGCCGGGTGCTGGGGCCAGTTTGGCCGTGCCACGCGCCTTCCCCCTGTGGCCGAAGCTGCATGGCATATGTACATTTTGAAGTATGAAATACGCGGACTGACTTCCAAACCCAGGGCTTAGCAACTGGCTAGGTTTGCCTTAAACCAGTTGGCTCTGCAAAGGTTAAAGATAGGTTTCGGCGCCTTTGGGACGCGCTGGTCGGAGACCTTTCCAACCAAGCTGGGAACACTCCAGAAAGCCCTGAATCCAGGGATAGCTCAGATCGCTATTGCGGAGCCGCAGGAATGAACGACTTCCACAGAGTAGTAAACCTTTTGCTAACCACTAAAAGAGTACTTGAAGAGGCCTAAATGAGTTTAGTAAAAGAGTACTAGAAGAGTACTACAAGAGTAACACAAAGGAGACAAGGAATTCAAAGGCTCACCCCGCCCGAATGTAAGTGATTGAGGCCGCTGCAAGCTCGCGCTCTGCTTGCTTCTTGTTCCCGTGGAGCACTTCCACCTGGGCGGGCTGAGCACATCTTCAATATGGATGCGTGCTACCTCTTGAAGCCTCTTTCAGGAAAACCAAAATTTAGGGGGTCCCAGACATTTTGATGCATACCCAGCTGAAAACACCAAATTGGTTTTGCTGTCCTTGGTGGTGCCTTCTAAAAATCCAACCTAACGGAGAGTTCCCGAAAAAGGCCCATAAATGACCCCTCAATGGGCTCAAGCATCAAACGGAAATATTGTGTGTCCGAAAGAAGGGAACCCTCGTACACTTGGGTGTTTTTTCACCCAACAGCATCCATTAAATATTGACCCTTGCACGTATGCCTGCTTTCCCTTTAAAACAACACCCAACAAATGGTGCACCTTCTGTTCTCCCTTCAATCCCGGTTCCAACTCCAAACAAGACAGCCAAACAGGCCACCGGTGTGTGTGTGTGCTGTTGTGAGCGAAACCCGCAAAAGTACCAAAGTGTTGTGTCCCTTCGAATTCCCTTTCAACCACTACCCAAAACGGTGCCCTCAAACACATAAAGCGGCGCAAAGCCCCAAAAAGGGACCACTAAACTCCCAAGAGCACGACACCCAGCTCCTGCATCCCCGTTCCGAGCTGAGGCGTCCACGTGGCAGCCCTGTAGAGCTGCCTGCAGCAATCTGATTTTTTTGGGTTGAAGTACAAAGAAACTTCTTGGCTTTCCTTAAGAGATTCATACCCCTGAAACGTTGTTGTGAACAGCAAGCTTTTGTTTTGCGGGGAAACACCGTGGATGGTATTACTTGGGATTGGGGTATTTATAGGATGTTCTCCATCCCAACTGCTACGAAGTAGATTCTGTCCGGCCAAAGCTCCTTTCGGTGACACCAAAGGCCGTCCTCACTACCTTACGCTTTGGATGGGATGCCCTTTGCCGCTTTCAGAAAGTGGCAACAAGCTAACCAAACCCTGATGTCATCATCGGAGTAATCCAAAAGAGCATCACACACAACAGGCCCCTTTTAGTGGACATTCATTTTGGTGGGATCCCTCGGGTGAGTATGGTCCTGCAGAGTGATCGGAAGTTGACATTTCCCTTTTCTGGCCGGACTTGTCAAGAGTGCTTCTTGTGAGTTTACCCGACTTTTTTAGACCAGCCTGTGAAAGCTTGATATTTGGCTGCTTGGAAGGGAACATGAAGGATGCACTCCTGAAAAAGGCAAAAGTTAACAAGGTAAGATCTGTTGGCAGTAGTGTTGGTTCGAGGAAAGTTTAGAGAGAGGCACCAAAGCCCGGAGAACCGAGCCTTTGCGACTTGCAGATCACCTGTCCTTGCACATTGCACATTGCACATTGATGGGAAACCCACGAAACAAAAACCGACTTGGAGGGTGCCAAGCGAGAAGGTGTTTTTGAGGGTGAATCTGAACCCAGCCCTCCAGCGAGTTTTCATGGCCACAAACTGCACCCTTGTAGTTAATTCAACCTGGCTGGAACCAGTTGGCAAAAAGAAAGCAAACCCACTGAGGGTCTGGGAAAGCAAAGGGCCTTGATCTTCTTGGCTAAGGAGTCGCACTCGTCGTGGTCGAAGGCGAAAATGAGCACCTGGCTCGATCCGGGCGGGCGATATGTTTTGGCTCACTTGGGTGGATTGGCAACATGCCGTTTGCGACTAAAGGTACCTTCCACTAAAGCTTGAAGTCCAGGACCTGTCCCTTGTTTCAAGCAAAACATGCGGCATGGCTGCGGGCCACTTCTTTCGCAACGAGGCAAAGGTCTGCACAGCGCGCCTTGCCGGGATTCTTGTGCTGGTTGCTGTACCTCAGAGGGGTGCTGTGCCAAAGGGAAGTTATCAAAAATATGCAAGATCCCGAAAGTCCTGGAAGCACCATGAAAAAGTGGGAGGCCCCTGATGTGTGTTTTTTTTTTTTTTTTTTTTTTTTTTTTTTTTTTTCGCATGAACACCAGCGAACACGAGCCCTGGCCTACTTTTGATCCTGCCATCATGCTTGTTTGTAGGAACGAGCCCCTTTGTTTGGCTCGCAGTAAGGAAAGCCCAAGATTTGATTTCCCCTCCAACATTGCCTTCCCCTTCGATTCAAAGGCAAACCAACGGGGAAAGCAAGGCCCATGTTGAGGGCTCGCCCACATCGAAGGCTTCAACTTCAGCCCAGCGGCAGCTTGCGGAGCAGACTCTTGAGGGCGCCCTCCTTGTCGTGCTCGTCCTTGGCCTAGGCTTGGGTTGCGTAAAACGAAAAATAGGGGACCTTCAAGTGGGCTTGAACTTCAGTTGGGACGCTTTGACGGGCATCATGTTGTGGAGGATTTAAGTCCACCAACTACTTTTGAGGCGGCCACTCATCGAAACTCATAGCTAGTCGTTGTTTCCCTTTCGTCCGTTGCCTTGGATTTACAGGGTCAACAGAGTAGAGCAATTGGGGGCGCCCCCCTTCGCGGTTCTTTCTGTTTGAAGGGAAACTAATGAAGACACGCACACATACGAGTATCTTTTTTAAGGTGAACCGCGGTGGCTTTGTCTCCAAATGCGGGCGTGAACTCCAAAATTTGGATAGTTGTGGCTTCCCCCTTTTTCACCAAATCACCCCAAAACCAGCTCCAAGAGTCATTCCCCGGAGCTCACCCGCAAACGAACTTGCCCAGAAGCCGGACCCAAAGCCAGGACAAGGCCATGGCTTTCAATCAATCTCATAGTCGCAGTTGGGCAAAATGCAAACCCATGTCGGCTTGCTAATTTAGTCTTGGCAAGTGAAACCAAATACACGCTGGGTGCACTAAAAGGTCCCCATGTCTCGTGGGTTTGCTTTTTGTTGAGGGTATCCTTCTTGTTTGCTCTGACATATTGCTGAGAATCATTGCTGCAAAGTACAGCTAGAGCAGTGCTTGCATGTGGTGACTGTGTGCGGAACACACTTAAAGCCACCCCCAGACGAGCTTCTTACTGTACAACCTAAGCAAGTTCTTGAGAAAAGTCCCAAGGATCTTTCTGGGGTCTTGGATGTCGCTCCCAACATCTCGCATCTAGATCCGCTTTTGCCCACGCTACAAAACAATGATGGTTCATATTGGTTGCTGGCCATTGCCCCCCTGTTAATGCACACACAGAATGCTTGTTAATGCGCACACACACGCACAGACACGTTCCCCCCCAGAAAGGTTGCATATCCAAACACACATACACAAGATCAACTCAAGCACATCCCAGTCAGTCTGAGGCTGCAGCGATGATGACCTCCTGTTTCACGTCTTTGTTGGCCTTTAAAGGATCCTCGCAGTTGGCGGTCATATCCCTACCTTGGAACTCCTGAACACGCCCAGTAATTCCATCCACCTGTAGGTAACCAAGGGCTAACCAGTAATTGAAAAGCAAAGGGAAAATGTCTGGATACCTACTATAAGTGTTATCTTGGATCCACTGCAAACCACGGATTCATCAACTTCGTAGATTAATGGAGAAGCCAACCTTCTGGGTGTCGCAAACCAAGCCGCCCCAGGTGAGGTTTCGCGGAGCGATCCGAAAGATAGGGCCAAAGAGTTGACGCCATTTCCTGATTCCGAGCCATACAGGACTAAGCTTCATGAGCCTCAATGACAGTCAGCGCCAGCCCTCAGCGCTTGCTACCCAGATCAACAGAAGGCACGCAACAGTAATAATGTAAGAACAGGAACTCTTTGGGGCAGAAGGACAGCTTTTGGGGCGTTCAGCGGCCGTGTGTGTTGCTTACAAGGGGGGCGTATGATTATTTTAAGCATCACGTGACCTTGGAATGATTACTTTCTTGGGCGGTCCTTTATGGTTGCGAGTTAATTATTGTATTTTTCCCAGATGGATTGACTTTTCAAAATTTCACCCGAATGATATAGTACATGACAGCATAGAATTTCGGGAGGGTGTAATCCCATCTGCCTGATGTGTTTCTTGACCAGTTGGCCGACCGCGACTCAATTTTGCATCAAAGCTATCGTGATGGGCTTTTGGTTCGAAGCAAGCATTCTTATTTGCCAAACTTTTAGGCATGCTGGCCTCATGTGAAGATTGGGCACAAAAGGTCCAAAAGGATCGGGCCCAAATGGTTTGGGGGCCTTGAATTGTAGACTGTTTGGTGGACATCGGTTTCAAGGAAATTTGTGTCCACCAATCATTTGGCAAGTTATTCCAAGTATCAAAATTCTGATTGGCAAACTGGACGGGCCCTGACCTTCAGGATCATATCATTTCGAAGGATAGAAATTGATCGAGCTCTCACTAAGCCTTCCTCTCCCCTAAAACCCACTCTTTCCTCTGAACAAGGCTTTATTCGGGTCGTATCATGGGAAACCGGGGAGAGAAGGTTAGGGGCGGGGGGGGGGGGGGCAGGTATAGTAGATCATTTGCGTATTTTGCCTCTAAACATCACCCGTTGGTAGGAGATCACCATTGACGCAAAAGGTGATGTGAGTCACAACCCAAAACCGGGTACTCCAGGGGTCTATCGAAACTTATGTAGAGAATGACGAGAGGGCCTGTTCATGGCTGAGACTATGCTGCACTTGCGTGGGTCTTGATTGTGACTCGTGTTTCAGCCACAGAAAAAGGGAGTAATGACCTGGATTTCTCGATCGGTCCTTCATCCCGACACGCACTTCCACGGCATGCCGACCTCAGTCCGATGCAAAAACCGATCTGCTAGGAAGCGGTCACTACCAACACCCGACAACGGCTACACAAATGTTAAGTGACCTCCTTTCGGGCAATTTTGGGAGCCATATGGGAGCTCTTATATATACTCACCCAAGCATCATTGAATAGTCAAGAAACTGCACCATGCTGAAAAAACGAAAATACCGCAAAAACAGGTTGTCACCAAACCAATGCCCCATTGAAGGGACCAACATGGAGAAGACAAGGCCCTTGAGAAAAGAGAGAGTTCAGAAAGGAATGCCTTTTGGCAAAACACCGCCTCTAGCTTTTAAAACTTTGGGAATGCCCCGCTCGCCCCAACGTTCTAGACAAATCGATGCACATCGCAATCTGCTGATTCTCACAGCCCGCTGCCCATCACGAGGTGCAGTGCCATTCGCTTCTCAGAGGCTAATTCACTCAGTGGCAGTTTGTGTCGTCACTCAGCTCCGGGATGCCCCATTCACCCCACGCAAGTAGACTACAACGCGTGCGACCAACAGCCGCTAACATGGTCTTCCAAAACAGGAAGACTGTCAAGTTTGGGAAACCCAAGGGCTCAAAATGGACTGGATTTCCATGGGCTCAGACATGTGCCTCTTGCGGGAACCTCCTTTGGCATATGGTGAAAGGAAACCAACACTACACCCACCAATTTGGTGCCTCCACGTCCCAATGGGTCAAACTGGAAATTCATTTGAGATCTGTGCACCTCGCGAAAGCCAGACAAGATGCCGCAAATTCACCAAACAGTTCCTTTCACACTTTCACACTTTCACAGGAAGTTTCGATCCCCCCCCCCCAGGGCTCCGCGTTGGTTCAATTGCCAGGGGTGCGCGTCCAAATTTCGATCAACCCAATTGAGATTAATTCAAGCACCCCCCTCCTCACCTGAAATCCTGGCATGATATCCAAAAAGCACAAAGGGTGGTAGTTCGACAACTAATTTTGAGGCAACGCCAAATGGGTATGTGTCCAACAAGGGGGACATAAGGGGGCCCAAGACGGTTGGGTGTCCCCTTGGCTTCCTTTGAAACCAACCTGAAAAGGGTAGCAACTCAACAAGCAAAATAAACACACACACACACACACACAAACACACATTAAATTGCCGGTACTCCGTAGGGAACGAGGGAATGACCCCTATGAACTATCCCTTGTGGTTTCCTTTTCGGAGACCTTTTAGGGCCATTCCCGAAAACCTTGATGATTCCCAGCTGAGAGACAGCAGGGCTAAATGAGCAACGCCCAAAGCTGCCGACTTTCTGGTCTACCGACATAGCTTTCCAGGTTCCATGTGGGCTTGCCTTTCCGCGCCATGAAGCTATGAAATTGCCAACCATGTTTGGTGTGTTGGACGCTGAAATGGCAGTTTCTACATAGACCCCCCCTCCAGATCTGGGCACTTTTTTCGAGGTTTTGGGCTGCTTTGTCTTGTCTTCCCTGTTTCAGCTCCGAGGATTCGCCTTTGAACATCCGTGAATTTGGGTCCGGCCATGGCATCCCCGCTGATCCAGGTGGCCAGGTCGCTGACCTGGACAGGACCCAGGCTGGGTCCCGGACAAGACTCGTACGTTCTGTCGAAGAAACGACGTTTCCGACACGGCATGCCAGGGCTCTTGATGCCTTGCAAGTGGTGCCCTATGGCTGGAAAAGGCGTGAGTCAAAAGCTCAAACTTCCTGGCCTTTACTTCAATAATGAACCCGAGCAATGGAGCATGCCACCCCAACCTGTAAATATTCAAAGCAAGCAAGGGTAATGCCGAATAGCTGGAAAGGGTCGACCTTTGGTGTTCTTGAACACGGACGCAAGGAACGCCCCAACAAGCAGCCACCCAAGACGACTCCATTCAGGCAATCGCGCCGCCGCCGCATGCCGCTCCTTTTCTGCGGGAACGAGCGGCAACGCTGGCTTCGGGGTTCCCGCGATGCGAAAAGACCTCGCAAGCATCGCCTAATGGCAAGCGCCGAATAATTCAAAACCGTTGCCTAATGGGTCTGGGCTGCTTCCACATTTTGGGTCAAACCAAGAAAGGGTCCAGCTTGGGTATTACCACCCTAGTGAAAAGGCTGAAGCAACAACCGCCCGTCCCTCTGCAGAGTCTTGGACTTGCAATTTAGAACGGGGGGCTCCAGGTGTTCTGCAACACCCAACAATCGCAAACCCAGCTCAGCTTCGCGATCGCAAGCGCACGCAAAGGCTGGACTCAGGCCACTCCAGTGACCTGCTTGAAGTCGTAGTGCCTGTCGCCAAAGTGGTACAGGAAGCCGCCACTGCCGCTTTTGCCCACCTGGGTAAAAGAAAAACACGGGAACTGCAAAAGTGGGTGGATGTCCCTTAGTTTCCCTTTAACCCCAAAAGGGGGTACCCTAAATCACAGCCCCACCAGACAGAGGCGGTCTCTAGGGTTTCCACCACCACGCGGTTGAATATGTACCTTGCTTTCTGAGTTTGCCCCGGAAAAGGTGGCTTGGTCATCGCTTGCCTGGCTGGTAGCCCCTTGCCCCTCGAGAGTTAGGACCGATTCAAGGTTGCCCACAAACCGGCTACACATATGGTCCACGGAAACCAAAGGAAACCCTGTTCGCGTGGCATCATCTTTGGGAACGGCTCGGGCGAGCCCTGAATCCAGCACAAAAGGCAACCTGGCCTCCATTCTGGGGATCTTTCTTAAAACAGTGCCCAAAACCTGTCGAGAAGGAAGGCGGCTTCGTCTGACTGTCCAACGGACGTGGAACATGTTGGTTTTACACCCTTGCTTGGAGCTGGCTTTCGGTAGGTTGCTGCCTAGTGTGTTGAGTCCTTTGGAAAGCAATTATTGGATCGGTTTAGGTCTGCTTCTAGGCTTCTTGCAAGGTTGGCTATAGCATCTCCAGGCTTTGCCAGGGCTACACGAAAAACCATACAGGTTCAGGGAAACACCTTCCATGTCCATTGGACAATCAGGTGAAGCCGCCTTGGCTTTTCAACTGCATGTTTTAAGAAAGCCCCCGCTGAAATTCCCTAAAAGAACACGGAACAACAAATATGTTCAAAAATCACCCAACAATTCAACATGAAATTCATGGGAAAAAACGTATATGTTCAACAAAAACACCCAACAATTCCAGACTTGTTTGGAGAACCCGTGGGTCCCCGCGGGTTTTAATTCTCTCGGCCGGTTTGGTCGCACGCCTCGGCCGCCTTGACATAGGCGAAGGTCTCGGCGCCCAAGGCCTTCAGACTGGGCACCGTGACCTCAAGGAGTCAATCCATGGAGGGAGGTGGATCAGGTTTTCTCGGTTGCTTGCTGCTCCCCTGCTGAACGTTTAACCTTTCGTGGTTTAAAGGAAAATGTTGATGGTTTAACCTTTTGTGGTTTGATGGAAAACCCAAAGAAACAGTAAAGTCCTATCGGTCCTAACATCCTTGCAAAATGCACCAAAGTTTTGCTTGTGGCTCATGGTCGTCGTTCTCTGAATCTCTGTTCGAGCGGGCTAGGAGTCCGTATCATGTGTTTGCCTCTACTGTTTGGTTGACCGGCAATGTTGTCTCTCGGTTGCGGTCTGCTCCTGTGCTAAAAGTTTAACCTTTAGTGGTGTAATGGGGAAACCCACTAGTTGGCGCAAAGTTAAAGTCCTAACATCCAAGCAAAATGCGCCAAAGTGTTGCTTGTGGCTCATGTTGATCAAAACCGGTCCGATATACATACGGTGGATGGACGAAATCCATTTCGCACCACCCTAACAAGCCCTGGGGTGATGCTTCCCCTGTAAATACCAACGAACAATGGTTTGCTATGGTTTCAAAGTGGTGCAGGATTTCGTCCACCCACAGTAGGACAAAAGATCTGATGTGTCCCAATCAATGGGACAAGTTACCCGTGGTTATTTGCGCGCCAATCCACCCCCATGTACATACTCATTTTACATACTTGGGCAAATGAAGCCAAAAGGCCTGCAAATGTTCATACCCGCTCCCCCAAAAAGGTAGGTATTTTAAAGTGAGTTGGAAACCAAGGAAGCCATGGACATATACCTATGAACGTTTATTAGTACATGAGTCGCCTACATTGCAAGCTTCCAGTGTTCGACTGGAAAGTAGACTCAAACAGAGTCTGATTTCCCCAACAGGGGACCCGCTGGGTTTATAGTCAAACTATGGAACCGTACAACATTTGCTCAGTGCCCCCGGTGGATTTGTGTTTTTGTAGCTGATGTTAAAGGGAACCCACCTCGAACAACGACGAACGCCAGGCACCACTAGGTCTGTTGGGGCAATAAATGGTGCACCCTTGTGATCAAGCAACAAATATTTCCAGAAACCGATAGGGCCGGGGCCCACACAAAACCCCATGCCTACAACCTGCCGCCAAACGGATAGCCCGCCCAAAACCGCTACCCCAGCAATATTGTCTGTTGCTCACATGTTGAAACCAGTACCCCGTTTCGGTCTCCCTTTGCACGGGACCAGAGGTGACAGCAAACTTTGCCACCGACCTGCCTCGTGCAGTGTCACTGAAGCTGCGACCGAGTCCACGTGCACATGGTGTGCAAAGGCCAACCTGAGACATTTGGTTGTTTCCCTCCAGGCCCTTCCGGCTACCTCTACGGTGGCCAACAAAGGCTTTCTACCGTTAGGCAGATGATGGCTCCCCATTTTACATTTGACATGACTAGTTTCCCTTGCTGTGATGTGTAAAGGTTGTCAATATATTATATAGAGTAGTCAACATGTAGCTGGTTGGTCACACATACGGCCTCTTTTCGGACATTAGAGCGGTCTTTGCAAGCGCCTTTCAAGCCGGATTGCAAATCAGCAACTTGGAATTGACCAAGCCCCTCCCCCCATGTGCTATGGTCAAGACCCTATATGTATGTGGACCGTCCGTTGGGCCACGTACATGATTTCATCAAAGTCATCTCTGAAATAACAAGCCCTGGCAACGTAATCATGAAAATCATGCCTCAAATGGCGGCTGTAAGGAAAAAAAAAAACGGTTCTTAACTTTGCCCCGGCAGCGGTCAAAATGGCGAGCCCTGTATGTCCCATTGTAATATGCACTCATCAAATAGACTCATTTGCAAACCAACAGCGATCCAGCACAGTAATCTTCGCAGACTGAGCCGCTGGATCATGAGGGAACTGTCCATGCCAATGACACCCAAGGCGGAGACCACAGCCTTTGACTCGTCCAAATAGAGGAAGGCCTTGCGGCAACAAAATTACTTGCTGCGATAGGTAGGGAATGATGAAGTCCGGGTGTTGGGAATGAACCGGAAGGGGATTCCTTCGAAGGAAGGCATGGATGGCTTTTCTTGGGGTCATTCTCTCAAAGGGGCATCCCAAAGGAAGGCCTCGCAGGGTTGCCCTTGCGAGTTATTTGCAAGTCCCAAGGGAGAAACCCATTTCCCCTTGAAATAGGGAGCCTCCTTGTGCAGATTGGGTGGTTTAAAGGCTTCCAGAGCGACCGGACAAAATATTAGCCATCTCTTTAGGAGCGCCCAATATGTTCCTTGCAACCTGTCATGACGTCTTCCAAAAGCAAAAACAGCACACGGTAAACTGGTGGGCGGGGACCTTGTCGGGATCCACAGCAGTTCACCATTGCAGGGGCACCAGCAATTTGAGGTGTGCAAATGGACCTTAGATGTTCAGAGTACCCTGTATTGAAGTTCACAAGACGGCCCGTAGTGAGAGTAGCCATTCTGTTGGTTCGTGGCGCCAGTGTGTCACTATCAATGTCCCCCTCAAGTGCTAGCTTTGAGGGAAATGACATCACTTCCTGATTTGTGTAAATTCGAGCAGTCATAATATTGTAGATCCAACCCGTAAACAATACCAACCACCAACATGAGAAGAAACCTGTTCTAGCTGGCTCGAAGGTTAATAGAGCCTGTTTCGACAAGAGGACTTTGGATAATTGGGTTGTCCACCCAAATCAACAGCAAACAACCAACAATAACATTGTCAGTTGCTCAAAGAATACTCAGGACTCCCTTTGTTTCCCCCATAAACATTACCCCACTTAAAGGAAACTCAAAACTGACTTCAAGGGGGCCTGACAAAAATCGCCCTTTCTGTGATACCAACATGGGATTCCCATCCTATGACTTTACCCGGGGATTCCCACAATTCAGCAAATCTCAACCTAAACCCCTACTTTTCTGCAGGCTCCGAGCAGGGCCTTGTGCTGGTAGGAGTAAAAGAAGAACTTGGTCCTCGTGCTCACATGCATCTTATTCAGCGCGGCTGCTGGCAACGTGAGCGCTTGCGGCTCCTCATGCCTCGCACGGCAAGCCGTTACGCCCCAAAGCCACACCCCTTCACCCAAAACCCCAATGGATTTCCATGGGCAAACATGGGCACTCTGTTTGTTGCAAGTTGAGTTTAAGGAGCCCACCCCCTATTCAAAAAAAGACGGGCACCGTTGGGCGCCTGGTTAAGGACAACCCTGGGCAGCGGCAATCCACCGAATAGCTCATGTTTCCTACTGACAACGTTCCAAGAAGCTCAAGGCAATAGGGGCATAGGAATCAATAACCCCCTGGTCCCCCATTAATCCGTTTGCGGAGAGGAACTGTTTTGCTCGGTCTCAAACAGAAAGTCTCCCTAAAAGTTGAAGATAAACAGGATTCTTTGTTAGTCTCCTTAAAGCATCACCCCACAAAGAGCATCTCACTTCAAAAGGTGAAAGGAAAACACACATGAATGGCGGCACCCATTTGTTGGGAGACTCCCCTAAAACGAACACTTCGCGGCTTAACACATTCCCAACAAGCGAAAGGTAAAAGGTCAAGCCAAAGCACTGGTCCAGATATTTCTCCTTGCAACATAACTTTCGGAAAGAACAGCCACTCAACGCAGCCCCAAAGTGATGCTTAACCCCCAAAGACATATGTGAAGAACCCCCCGCGGTATAGAACTCGCATTCTATTCTCGGTTTCTTTCTGCTCCCCTGCTAAAAGTTTAACTTTTGGTGGTTTAGTGGAAAACCAATTAGTTGGCAAAAAGATAAAGTCCTAACATCCAAGCAAGATGCACCAAAGTATTGCTTGCATCAGCACTATGTGCCCGCCCTGCCAAAAGTAAAGGTCCAACCAAGAGCATGTCCATGTGGCTTGTTTGGAGGTGTGAAGGCTTGTTACCACTCGTAGGGGACTAGCAGTACATAGCCATGTGTCTGGGGCGCTTTGAGAGGCTGGGTCGCAACCCCCTTGGGTTGGAAAAGCCCACCCGCCTAAAAATGCCCTCGAATCAAACAAGGTGCAGCCAGGATGCGCACCCGTAAACTTGTTGGCCTCGAGCGCGGCCACTTCTGAGTCCTTCAGCACACGGAGAGTGACCCTGTCTTAACCGAAGAGGGATCTCCTCACGCCTACTTCGACTTAATTCCTCTTGGTCACAAATGAAAGTGGCAACATGTGGCAACCTAAAACCATTCAGGCTTGTCCTTTTTTGAGGGAACCCCTTCCCGAATGGCGGTTTTACTTTGGGTGTTCCTGTAAAGCAAGCCCAAAGAGGGTACTCTCGGAAAAGACACACCCATTGCTGCAACGATGTCCTTCAGAACGCGGAGGTTGATGTATTTGTACAAAGATCCACCTGACTCGCTGGACTCGCCGGGAAATTGTCTTCGACCCTGAGCCAACCTCGAGTTGCCCAGTGACTCTGCTAGAATTGAATAGGGAACCCCTTTCATGGTTGGGCAGGCAAAGTTTGCCAAAACTAAACCTGGCCCTAATTAAAGGGAAACCAACATAAAGTTGTGGGAACAATCTGCAAACCAGCTTGGAACAACGGAAAACTGGGGGCCACCAGTGCGCGCAGATTCTCAAAAGTGCACTCTGGATGGCATTTCTCCGTGTGTGTGGTGAAATTTGTGCAAACAAGTTGCAGTCTTTTGCTGTTCTAATGCATGTCTGGGTTTCTAACGACGTACACAAACTTCAAATAACACAAAACAACTAAAACAAGACTGTATATATATAACTAAACACAGTGCTCAAATAGTCTTTCCACTGGCTCAGCCCTGCCCAAAGACAAAAATAAAACAGACTCGCGAACAACAACAAACAGCGAAACCACAAAAATACACGCACATAAAGATCAGACACTCTTTTTCAAGAGGTACCAGTAGCCACTCACTGTACCAAGAGTCTGGGAGAATGTTGTTTGATTTGCGGTTTTCTTGAGCTGTTTTTGGTTTGTGGCTTGGGCAGGGCCGATGATCCAGTGGATATGAATTTGTTGAAAGGAATTCCTACTTAACTTTCACTACTGCATGGGTATTCGAGTTGAACTCCACTTGAATAACTTGTGTTTATATGCTATTTGATGTGTACAGGACAGTATTTTCGAAAGGAATTCCCGTGTAAAGTCTAACGTGAAATAGGAACATATGGATTCAATTCTAACCTTTAAAAAATAATGGTTGGACTTTGTTCTGAACAAAGTCTGTATACTCTCGAATCAAGTTGTGAAGCTCTATTTCGCAAGGAATTGTTTCTACTTCCCAATTTAAGATAGAACTTCCGATGGAAGAAGTATTTCTGAATTGAGCCCTATTCAAATTCTGTTCAAATTCTAGTTTGTGTTTAGAGATCGGCCGTTGGTGAAGACGTGATGTTAGTACGGATACGGACACCGCTACAAAACACTGTGTTCTCATGCGTGTTCTGACTGGACCACGATTTGTATCAGACCTCTCATTCTTCTCTTATGAAATCCTACTTCATATCTTCCATCGCATTATACTCAGTTTCAATAACACAAAAAATAATATAACAAGGACACAGTCCAATCATAATTTCAATATAAACATTCTAACCGTTGGTGGGATCTGTGTTAATTGCAGTCTATTCTACTGTTTGTTTGTGGAATATGTGCAAGTTGCAGTCTTTTCTGCTGTTCTATGCATTTCTAGGTTTCTAAAGAAAAAAAACAAACCTCAAGAACACCAACAAACAAAACTAAAACACAATTAACAAAACACAAAACCATCGTGTCCCGTCCAAGATCGACACATCTGCGACATGAAATCCGCTCCGCGCTTCATCTGCTTCGAACCGCGTAAGACTGCTCAAAACACTGTGTTCTACCGTGTTTGGCAGTATTGCAGGGTCTGTGTGGATCATGGAAGGGGTGACCATATATATATATATATACATATATATATATATGCACATAGGTATATATGTATATGTATATATATATACATATATATATATATCCTCATGGTATTGTCAAGCCCCGCCTGATTGATCCGCCGATGGCTTGACTTGCTTAAAGGCGAAGTGCCCGTCCGCGAACTTGTAGACAAACCCTCCGCCCCCCCTCTTGCCCAGAGCAGCCGCGGTAACATATTTGAACTCGGAGACACCTACCAGCGGTGCTGAAACCATCGGAGACTCCCGAAAAAGCAGCGGAAATGACAAATACACTCCCTCAGACTAACATGGAAGTTCCTAGAAGGCCTGTGTAAATGGAACCAAGTCTTCCAAAGGCGTCCTGGGAGCTTCCATGTTAGCGTGGGGGAGGGTATTTCCCTCTAAACTCCAAACATTGTTTACCATGATTCGGGGAGCCTGAAAGACCAGTCAACAAACACACACACACACACATGAACGCACACCCATTGCACATTGCACCAAATTGGAGCGCTGGGGGGGAAAAAACACATACAACAAATCATCGCCTTGGTGCAGAGGTTCCAGCTTGCAGCCCAGGGCTTCAACATGCATTCTGCCGCAAAACGAGTGGACCCCACCTTTAGTCTGGCTTGATCAGGGAAATCAGCTGGCACGTTGGGACGATTGGATTCTTTGGGGAGAGTCCTGAACAAGCAGGTAAACTTCACTCCACCAAAATGAAGCTCCGGGAGAGTGTCAGTTCGGACACTGTTCGCACTTTGTGTTGTCGACCTGCCGCTGCAGAATTGGAAGCATGGGGTTTGGGGTCAACATTATAGTATGGGACCAAGGTCTAGTTTCTGCCTTTTTTTTCCACCGACCCTGGGCGAAACCGTGGGCCGCGATGAGAATGCTTCAACAGTGTTGCTTTAAACATGTCTGAACAGGCCTGGTTTCCGCACTTGGAAGGTGTGGGGAGTAGCTACATGGCTAATCGGACACAAGGGTTTCCAGGCGGCTGGAGTGGCGTTTGGAGGCCACCCACTTGGCGAACTCGAAAGCTGGAAGCCTCAGTTCCCGCCTTTGTTTCCTTTGGTTTTTAGGGCAACCCCCCAAGCAAAAGTCGGGAAAACCGAAAAACCGAAAAACCTCAGCCAGGTCTGGGCTGGGATCCCGCTTCGTGGACCCGGCCTTTCTCCTTGAGGCTGGGCACCGTCACCGGCTGCAGCGCGAAGTCGAGCCGTTCCTTGGGACTTGGACCATTGGATGCCTGCGACAAATTTGATGAAGACTTGTTGAAACATCATGCAACAAAACAAAAGGGCAGCTGGTGATGGTTCCAAAACTAGTCATGGAACATGATTGACGATGATGGAACATGGTGGAACATGATGGAAAGTGACGCGAACATAATGGAGCAGTATGGAAAACAACGGAAACATCTGGGTATGGCTCAAAATTAAAGAGCTACGGTTACACAGGTTTTAGTCTTTGGTTGCATTTACCAATGAGCCCCACATCTGGACAAACTGGCTGGAATTAGGACCCCAGCATTTTATATATATATATATATCTATATATATATATATATATTTTTGCCTGGTTAGTGGAAAACAAAGGGACCCCCAAAACAGCAAATAATCGAAAAGGGGAGCAAATGCCGGGGAAGAGTGAAGAGACAGTGCCGTTGAACATGGAATCAACCGCCCGTTGGACCAAGCTTCCCTTTGCCAGGGCTCCATTTCGGGTACCTATTTCTGACAGCCAGCCACATCTGGGACAAACCAACAGGCGACCTAAGCCTGGCCACGGAGTCCGAGATGGTCTCCTCGGACCCGAAGGGCAGTTGGATCACGAGGTCCTCCGCCATGCCCGCCACCTGCCCGGGAGCTCCGGTCTGGCTTGGGTTGGTCTCTTGGAAAAAAACAGCCAAGGGCACTCCAGTGGCCCGGGAAAAACGGGGGCACGTGTTTGCTCATTGGACGGGAAAGGGGGCATTTTTTTGTTGCTTTCGTTTGATCTTCAAGGGGGCTGACCAGCTCCAAAGGAATAAAGAAGGGCACCAATTGGCTGCTTGGGGAAAGCCAGGGGGGGCGAGATAAATTGGACAAACATGACCACTCCCCTTTTGGTGTCCCTGAGTCCCTGAGCTAAGTTTAAACACATGTTGCAAAAAGAGCTGCTCCCATGGTTTAACCCCCCCCAAACTGCTCCAACAACCTCTGTTCAGGTTTTCTAAGGGCTTTGCGCCACTACTTGGGACTTTGTGCCATCCCGCAAAATCATCCAAGCACCGCAAAAGGGGACTGAGGAGCCTGATGACCTTTGATAACCCCACTGTTTGGCCCAAGGCCCGAATTGCTCGTTTTACCCCGACTGAGCTCGCGGTACTTAGCGCAGTTGGATGATTCCTGGGGTTAGGGGTTAACTGATGGTCAGCTTGCTTAAAATATGGGAATGAAAATTGGGAACCCCCCCAAGCCCAAAAAGGCTATCGAGCCTCAACGAAAGACCCACCCAATACGTGCCATTTTTCTTTTCAGCCACATGTTCGGTCATCTGCTATATTGTATGTTAGTTGCCAGTGAAGGATGATTTCTTCGGGATCCTTTGTGTTCGGTTGTGACTTATGTTTCACCCTGCAGGAATCAAATCCCATGCAGCGAGGGCTTGGTAAACTCCAAGTGGTCTCGTCCATCCGAAGGCACCTATCCATCCGAAGCAAAAACCTACCTGTCGGCAATTGAGCGTCTTTTTCACAGATTCTGTCACCCGAGTCATGGCACTATCAGAAGCCCATCCTGATCGAGGGCGGATCATGGCCTGGGAACCAAGTCTGCGCTCCTTCACGGGGCCCGAGATCGCAAACCCCCGGTGTCTCCTTTCCTTTGCTGCTTACCCAAATTGGTGGTTTGTTGTTCAAGCAGCAGGGATTGACTATGGAATGGGATAGGGGGCAAACTCTCAATTTCCCAAGTGCTCCTTGTTGCTGCCTCCCGACCAGGCTCAGCTTCTTTGGATCTCTGAGCTATTTCACAATCCAACGCCCGCCTCGTGTCTCTTTGTCCCTTTGTCTCTATTCTTTCGTGGTTTGGCGGTGGGTGGCCCCTACTCAACAACCAATTCAAACCCCAAACCACCAAAACAAAACAACAATCTCACTTCCTGAGTGGATTGGTCAGAAAAAGCAAACTTTTGTTTACCACTAAAATGGTCTTCCCAAAAAACTTAAAGTCCTTGAACTCAGGAAGTGAGCAATTAACCGCTACCTCGTTCCTCGCATTGCGAGTTACCCGGTCTCTCAGCTCGTAAAAAGCGCTGCAAGAGCCGCCTGCAAACCGGAGACCACCTGTTTTTGCAGGTCCAGGTACAGGAAGGCCTGTCTGAATTGCGACCGGCGCATTCTTGCGGACTGCCCTTCCAACAGCAGGGGCATGGACGTTCGGGGATAGATAGTTGATAAACTAGGAGGAGCTAGAATAAAACCAATCTACAAGTCCCCAAGGTATGCAAATGCCACTCGCAGCGTACAGAAGTTGGACAAGCGGGAGCCCAGCCTCATGCCAAACATACGTGAGAAAGACAAGGCCGCTTGCTCTCTTGGCTTGCTGAGAGGCTAGTTTAGGGGGCTTCCCCTTTTTGGAGACAAAGCACCCAGACCAAACTGGAACCAGTGCCATCTACCGGAAAGGTGCCCCAAAAGGAAAGCTCGTGTCTTCCCACAGTGTTGTCAGCTTCCATGTAGGATGGCAATACTTCAGTCAGACAAAAGCTTATGCTTCTTGGCTGTTTTGAAAAGACACTACCCGGTCAGCCGCGGATCAAATTAACAAGTGCGGTTTGTGTAGCAGGCGTGGGACGGTCAATCATTACACCGTTTTAAACCTTGTAATGATAAAAGGCTTTCCGGTCCGAAATTGCGCACGCGCACCCCCGTAGGTCTTTTCCTAGAAAAATCTAGGGGGAAAGGGTTGTAATAGCTCTGACCTTCAAGAAGCGCAACTTTTGTCTGGCCAGTGTAGTAATCAGGGTGGGGCCAGCGCCAGCTGTGTGGCTCCCAATCGACCCTTCAAGGGTAGAAAGCTGCGAGAAATGGTCCCGTGCAAAGCAACAAGGTCCAAACCACCCCCGAGTTGGTGGGTCCATGTTGGTCCATGTTGGTGCACGTCCTTTGCGAAGTCCAAGTCTTGAAACCTGAGGAAACCCTGGGCACCGGAAACTTGACATGGGAGAAGTGGCATTTTCCGGGATGAAGTGAAAGGTGGCGAAGGGAATCCCACTTTGGTATGCCCCCCACGCGCAGCACCAGGTAGCCCAACATGTCCAGGTCCAGTTTCTTGAGGCCCCCTCCGCATGTTCCCCGCATGTGTGAGTTGGGATGATCACCAGTCTGGGCAATATACATGGATTCCGACCTCAGAAACAGCTTTTGGTTTGCAACCGATTTG